GAGCTCCTCTGGGAGGGCAGTGTGTCATCCCAAGGCTCACCTTGGCTGTGTCCTCTCTCCTAGCACACACTCACAGGCCACAGTGGGAAAGTGCTCTCTGCCAAGTTCCTGCTGGACAATGCTCGGATAGTCTCAGGAAGTCACGACCGGACCCTCAAACTCTGGGATCTCCGCAGCAAAGTCTGTGAGGAAATTCAGTCTCTCTCTCTCTCTCTCTCTCTCTCTCTCTCTCTCTCTCTCTCTCTCTCTCTCTCTCTCTCTTCATATAGATATTAGCGGTGAGGTGATGTGCCACATCAGAACTTGCATTTTGTGTAATCAGTCTGAACCCCAGATTTATTTCAGTCTTAGGGACACTGGGGTAAGGAGGGTCATTTCTGCTTGGTCTCATTTCGGTTTGTAATTCGGGGGTGTTCTGTGTTCAGGAGTGTAGCCATATTATATGTGTATATAGCCATATTATATATGTATATAGCCACATGGTTGTCTTTGATTGATGATGTTTGGCTTTCTTTCAGGCATAAAGACAGTATTTGCAGGTTCCAGCTGCAATGACATTGTTTGCACTGAGCAATGTGTAATGAGTGGACATTTTGACAAGAAAATTCGCTTCTGGGATATAAGGTATGACGCCTAGGAGCTTGGTGTGGAGGCTGATGAAAGTACATTTAAAGAGCTGTGAGCATGCTTTGTGTGTAGGTGTGTTCTCATACTCCAGGACGGGCAGAGCTCCAGGACACCTGGGTCTGAACTGTGCTGTTCTTTACACACAACAGCCATCATTTGTTGTACATGAACTATGTACCAGATGTTCTTCCAGCTGTAAGATAAGCAAGAGATGAGAAGATACTCATTCCTACCTTTAGGCAAATTAAGTTGAAACAGGGAAGACAGAACACAGGGCAGTGAACATTTTGCTGTAGTGAAGACTGGCCTTTTTCGTGGTGATGGGAATGGACTTTATACGACAGAAAGCCATTAAAAGGCATGCCCAACTAGAACAGCCTGCTGTAGCTGACATGTAGCATGCCTCAGAGGGCACATGCCAATGAGATAGCAGGGTGAGTGGGCAATCAGATGTCCTGAGTGTGGATGATAAGAGAAAAAAGTGATGGCACTGACTCTCAGATCTGCTCGGTGACTTGTTCTGTCTTCAGAGAGCAGGTTAGGGCACATTGAAAGCAGTGTTGATGAGGACCTGAATTCATGGCAACAGGGCATAGATAGGGACATGCTAGGAGGTTCCCATTGCTGGGCAAGGTTAGGAGGAGGAGATCTGTCAGGACCAAAAGAAGTCCGGTGAGGTGAAGCCCTGAGCTGCTTGCTGAGGACAGAGGCGGCTGGTAATTAGATTGAATAGAGAGGCCACAGTTCAGGTAGGGGACTTGTGAGTGTGGAGAAAGAGGTGAGAATGTATGGCTCTGGATAGACTTTGAAATGCAGAGTGCCCACAAGGACGTCATTGTGAAGCTTGTGACTCCTAGACCCTACTTCAAGCTGTATTTTATCTTTTTCCACCCCCCAAATCTGAAGTTTGAACTTAAAACATGGAATTTTAGAATCTCACTGGATATTACAAGTCTCCTAGCTAATCCTTAATTTGTCGATAAAATGACCCACATACCAGAGAACTGGAGTAGTAGTCTATAGCTGTATATATAATAACAAGACAGACTTCTGCTCAGTTAAGACCGCAAATAAGTTCATTGGAAACCTTCAGCAAAACCATTGAGAGTGCCCCCGTTGGACCCTGTCTAGTGGTGGCCTATTAGCTGACTGACTGCTGTGGATTGAGTGTGTAAGAGAACTGGGGAAGCAGTAGATGCACAGAGTGACACCTGTCCCCTGGGGTCATCCAGTCCCATGTCTGAAGCAGCCACGGTGAAACTACCTGAGCATGTCAGGGTCTGTGGGCTCCTCAGACCCACCTAAGCCGCTTCTATCCAGCCTTATGTAAAAGCTGAAAGTGACATCGTAGAAACTGTGCTACTCTGCAGCTTGGGGGCACACCGTGGCGGGACACATGCTTGCCATGCTCACGAGGCCTCCGACTCAGTCTGCAATGCTAACAGCAGTCACCCTGGCTCACTCTTGCTTATCGGGGGTTCTGTTGGTAGTTGTCCTGTTATTCTAAAAACGGGCAAGAAAATTTCTAACCAGTCCCGCAGTTCTGGTACTCAGCATTCCTGTAGGCTCTTTTGTGGGGAAAGTTTTATAAGTAGTAGTGAGGCCAGAGGCATGCTTACTGCTCTTGAAGACAGTTGGATCTAGCTGGGTAGCATCATTTTTTGTTCAGTGACAACAGCCTAGTCAAATTGGGTGTGGTCCACTTGCCTTAGGTCTCAGGCTTCTGTCTCCTTTAGATCAGAGAGTGTGGTCCGAGAGATGGAGCTGTTGGGGAAGATCACTGCTCTGGACTTAAACCCTGAGAGAACTGAGCTCCTGAGCTGTTCCCGTGATGACCTGCTGAAAGTCATTGACCTCCGGACAAATGCTGTCAAGCAGACATTCAGGTACTGGGCCTGGCCTGGCCTGGCCTGCTTCTGGCCTGCCGGGTGAGTGCAGTGTGGGTACTAGCTGATCTGTCTGCTGTTCGTTTCAGCGCTCCTGGGTTCAAATGTGGCTCTGACTGGACCCGAGTTGTCTTCAGGTTAGTAGCCATGTCCTTCCCCCTGCTTGGTTTATCTCAGAGGTTAAAACTAGACATTTTCATGCTCGCTTCGGCAGCACATAGACTAACATTGGAATGATACAGAGAAGATTAGCATGGCCCCTGCGCAAGGATGACATGCAAATTCGTGAAGCGTTCCATATTTTAAAAAAACAAAAAAAAAAAACTAGTCATTTTCCTTTAAGGGAAGTAAAGCACAATCCTTAAAGTACTTAAAGGAAAGTACAGGAGTGAGTCTGAGGGGCATCTGGTGGTCCTGCTAGGATTTAAAAAAAAAACAAAAACAAAAACGGTGTTACTTTCATGATTGTGAGCGTGGTTGGCAGATAATTGGTTCTGAGTGAGCTGCCACATTCCCCTTTTCATCTGCCCACTTCCCAGACTTGGCACAGTTTCAGGGAACAGTGGAAAGGCTTGGCCTCCCTGGAGTGGAGCAGTACAGTCGAAGGTGATCAGTGTCCCTCTCCTCACTTTGCCTTCTGTGTACCATACTTTTCTTAAGTGTATTCTGGGGTTGGCTCTCATAATAGGGAAAAGTGTCTATTCCATGTGGAGTGTGTGTGGGCTCCCGAGCTTATGCACACATGCAGAGACCAGGGGAGGACATCTAGTGTCCTGCTCTACCATTCCACTCTATTCCCCTGAGACAGTCTTTCACTGACCCTAGAGCTGGGCTGACAACCTGCAAGCCCCAGAAATCCTGTCTCTTCCAGCAGCAGCGCTGGGGTTACAGGTACAAACGTGCACACACACACTTTTTTAACATGGGTTTTGGAGATTCAAACTTGGATCCCCGGGTTGCAGTAAACACTCTGACCCATTAAGCCATCTCCCCAGCCTACGTCTCAACAGTTCATGGTTTCCCCTGCCTACTCTCTAAACCATGCAACAAGTCTGTTCATGGGTGGAAACCTTAAGCTGTTTGGAGGTTGGATTTGGGCTCTTCTGTGTGTTGCTTAAGTCTGGTAGGTAGGTAGGGATGGGGAGCCTGAAGATGCAATCTGGCACTGCTCTTCAGTAGCCGGGCGGCTGAAAGAGCAAAGGGAACACATTGGGCTGCCGTGCTCATGGCTAACACATGACCTGCATCTGTGAGCACGGGAGTGGTCGGTCACGTGAGGTCAAAGCTCTACAGCTTTTGCTCTCCTGTTGTCTTCTCTAGCCCTGATGGCAGTTACGTGGCAGCAGGCTCAGCTGAGGGTTCTCTTTATGTCTGGAGTGTGCTCACAGGGAAAGTGGAGAAGGTTCTTTCAAAACAGCACAGGTAAGATGGGCCCCATCAGTACGTGTACTCAGGCCCACATCCCAAGCAGAGCCTGTGATTTCATCCCAGGGGTTATGTCATATCTGGTTGGGTGTGAACCTCTGAGCCTCTTGAGGGCAGTCCCCTCTCATTTGCAGGGCTGACTGACCAAGGTTAGTGGGGCCAGGCTGCACCACTCAACAGTCTAGCAGACCACAGTGATTGAGGTGCAGCGGGTAGAATCTTCATCCTTTTTCCTACTCCGTCCTCCTTTCCTTGACTCCCACATCTGTCAGTAACTTCACAGTTGTAAACACTCGTTTTTACATGCCTTCCTCACCTACCAGATTAGTAGCCTTGGGCCCTTGTTACTTATTCTTTGCCCAAAGCTTCCTGCCCACTAGAACAGAGGCCCTGGCTTCCTGTGGGTCAGCGGCCTCTCCTGATGACCTTGTGGGTTGTGCAGCTTTGTGGTGTGTTGTCTCCCTGCTTCACTCAGAGCTGTTCTTGGGGTGAGCAGATAAGGCCTGGTTGCTAAAGGAGACGATGTCTTCTGTCTGGTCCAGTGCTGCTTACTGGAATAATGCAGCTCTCTTAGCCTGAGTCCCTGCTGTGAGTGGTGGGCCTGTGTTTCCCACGTGCCTGGGCCTGGTGTCTAGCTGACTGAAATCTCTTCTGATTGATCCTTAAAGCTCCTCCATAAATGCGGTGGCATGGGCCCCCTCGGGCTTGCATGTTGTCAGTGTGGACAAAGGAAGCAAAGCTGTGTTGTGGGCACAACCTTGATGCAGCCCTCAGGAGCAGCGCGGGATCTGCACAGCCCTGTCTCGGAGGGTGATGTGTCCTCCCAGAGAAGAGCTGGAGCCATGTGGTGCCGTGGCTTTCCTGAGAACCGACTTAAGGTCTCTAAGGCCTCGAAGAACCAACACTGAATCAAACTGACTCTGCAGGTCCCTAGCAGAAGTTTGGGTTCTTGTCTGCATTTGGATGGGAAACACTACTAACTCTGACCTTCCATACCTCATGGGGAGCACAGGGTCCCTGCTGGGTCTCCCCACTGGACACAGTGCCAAGGACAGCCCCACACACTGGGTATTGGGTCCTCTGTGCTTTTCCTATCTTTCCAAAGTCGACTGTGGCCTGATGCACACCCCCTTCTGGGGTCACTTACCCAGGGGACTCACTTGTAGGCATTGGGTCAGTGGAAACCAAATGCAAGGCCTGTCCTCATGTGACAAAGGATGGGTGGAGCTGTTTTCAGGGCTGGAGGTGTGGTCTGGTCTCATTGCTAAAACCTCTTGCGTTCTTTGGCTGGCCTTCACAACTCCTGGCTCCCTTCCTGCCAACATTTCCACATAGCTTTGTGTGTATGTGTGAGAGAGGGAGAGTGGAAAGGACCTGTGCCAACCTTTTCCTGTCAGGTAGATTTGCAGCAGGTGAGAAACTTCGTCATCCTGCATCACTGCAGCCACACAGCAGGGGTCTGAGTGCTCACCTGGGCGTTTCTGCTGAAGCCGGGAGTGCTGAGTCCTGTGCCGCCACTGTGCCGTTCCTGCCGTGTGGCCTTAGTGTTGGGCGCAAGCAGCCTGTCTAGGACTGGTTATGATGAAGGCTGGAAAGCGCTGTCCCTACCGCTCACCTGTGCACATGTCTGAGCTGTGGCTGGGTGGCTGGGGCGCTGTCCCTACCGCTCACCTGTGCGCACGTCTGAGCTGTGGCTGGGTGGCTGGGGCGCTGTCCCTACCGCTCACCTGTGCGCACGCACGTCTGAGCTGTGGCTGGGTGGCTGAAGCCCCGTGTGTTTGTCACATTTACTTTGCACTTTACTTTTGCCTCCACACTAGTTCTCTGGACAGGAGGGACAGGAGTGCTGGAGCTGGGGAACAGGGATGGCAGTCTTTCTTCTGACGTCTCCCTGCTTGCAGCTCACCTGTTGGTTTGCTGCCAGAGAGCTTGTGTTGATGGAAGTTGAAATTCGCTGGCAGGGCACATCTTTTATTTATTTAATTATGTGTCCCAACAGAACTTGATTGTCAATAAAGAAAAAAAATGTGTTATATACTTTTCAAACTCCTTACATCTTGGTTGCATTTTGTATTTGGTTGTTTGTTTTCTTCTTTTATGTCCTTAAGTAAGGAGGAAAGGAACTGATTTTTTGATACCTGCTCATTTAGGAGATTCGGTCTTGCTTTGTGTGTAGATCCTCTTGCCTCCTAGTGGGTGGGGTAACAAGGCTGCACAGCCTTGCCCAGCGGGTATTTAGTATTTCCGGTAACGGTTTTCCTGGTGTTGGTCATTCTCAGCATGTCACCCATCCCCGTCAATCATCACTCCCATAAACACTGCACTCCAGCTCTGTGTCTGTGCAAGTCTGAGTACAGGATGTGTCTGCAGATCCCTCCCACCCTCCACCCCACCTGGGCATTGCTGTGGACTGATACCCTGCGTCCACTGAAGAGGTAAGTTGGGGGTGCAGAAACTGTGCCAGACGTCAGCTGTCCTTGTAAGGGAGAGGGAGCGTCAGGTGAACATCAGTCACTTCAGTCACCCTGCTTTTGAACTTGCAGCAGAACTGCTCTTGACTTAGTTCATGCCCCTCCCCAGTATCTGGTCCTCTTTAACTGCCAGTGCTGACTGAGCACTGGTGTGGTCTGCACCCCTGCAGGTCTGCACCTTTCTCTGCCTGCAGGTGGAGTCCTCGCATCACTGGGTTTCTAGTCTGGTCTTCACATGGTGTCTTCTTGTTCTCGGCTGTTTCTCTTATGCAGTCTCAAGGAGGAACAGGCCGACTTCCTCCTCTAACCTGTTCAGTCTGTTTCATGTTACTTGTATGTAACATGATATTTTAGTTAACAGCTTTATATTCACTAGGTCATTGCCCAGTACGATATTATAAATCAGGTTAAAGGCTTGATTCCTTAAGTACACTCTGGGTGCACTGCTCCCCCCACCCCCCATAGGGTCTCACTGTGTAGCCTTGACTGGCCTGGAACTCCCAGAGATCCTCCTACCTGTGTAGTGCTGGGGTTAAAGAGGAACGCCACCATTTCTGACCCTTATACACTGCTTTATATCATATATCCTGGACACTGGGGAACTGGGCATTTTGTGGACACTGCAGTAAATGTATGGAGGAGAGGGCAGGGCAGCCCAGTTCCCAAGGATAGTTTGGCTGGGAAACAAGATTGCCGTGATTCCAGGCATACAGAACACCCACGTGTCTTTGTGTGTCTGCCCACCTGGGTTCTGTCAGACTCACGGTTTGAAGCCTGTGTGGACTATATTAAGAGGGGAGGAGCGATGACCTGCCAGATTGTACTTCTACTTTATTTAACCACCATTTTCGTTTCTACAAGGTGTCCTAAGTAGGAATAAGAGGAGTTCTTAGTTCTCAGATTTAGTCATCTGAATTATATTTTATTTTATTATAAAAATGGGAGGAAGTTTCACAGCTGAGTTCTGACCAGCTTTCTGACCTCAGATGGGCGCATTTGTGTGAAGACTGCCTGCCATTCTAGGTCCATATGGGGGGAGGCATGCAAGATGAGTCAGCTATGATGTCGTCTGTATCCTATTTCAGTAATATTGACAGTGGATCCCAATTTTCATCCATCAACTTAAATCTCAAATGAAGTGAAGGATCCTCAAACTTGAGTTTCTGTAGAAGTGCCTGAGTATGTGTGCCAGTGAGAGGTCACACTGGTCTGTTGACTCCCTTGCTTCAGCAGACTGCTGCTCTGATCTCACATAGTATTTTAAAGTGGACAATTTTGTGATCCTTTATAGATTTATGATGTATAGTCACCAGCTCATAACACCAACAAAGGCACTGGTTGTCTTTCAAATTAAGATCTATAAGTAGCAGATCAATCCAAAGAAAAGTGGACACTTTCTTCTTAAGTAGAGACCACTGCAGAAAACCAGTCAATCAAAATGCAGAGTTGTGGACCCAGTCCCAGTGGATACCTGTACAGAACATTTTCCACACCTAAAGCTCAGGGAACGTTGATGAAGAGGGACAGAAAGATGGTAAGAAGCAGAGGGGCTTGCTGTGAGACTGTTCCTCGTCACATCAGAAGCTATACATGAAGTCTCACCAACATGACCACCCAGATGTGAGGACCCAAGGGGGACACCAACATACACACCAAGTAACGGGGGCGGGGTGGGGGAGGACGACGACAGCTCACGAGGCCTCAGTCCTACACAGCTATAGTCAGCCGGGTAAAGCTGGGAGTGGGAGAGGTGGTCTTCCAGGGAAGAGCACACTGACGCCAGTGCCAAACAGTCAGCCGGGAAAATAGACATACTAGTAACATTCAGCACAAATTTGCACAAATGCCAAGTTCACAGATCCTGGACTCCATCCATGGGGTGGTGGAAGGACACAGTTCTTTAGTAGTGGTTTCACTATTCCGGAGACCCCATTGTCATTGGGGTTCAGTGAGCATTACAGAGCCTAAGGAAGCACCCAGGTATGTATCAACCTCCAGGGTAGGAGGAGAAGAGTAAGTCTGAGAGCCCTGCCTAACCCTATACTGAGCATTTTTTCAAGGGACTTGTCTACACATTCCACAGGTTTCTTCACCCCACCACAAAATGGTCAGGTAGTGATGTTGCCTTATACAAATGGAGAAAAGGAAATCACAGGGCGACTGAGCAGCTTTCTCATGGATACAGGGACTCAACAGTGGACTACAGAACTGAGGGCCACCTCTGGAGCTACCCATCTCCCACTGCACACATCTGGAGCCCCAGTAACATTGGATCCCAGAGTGGTGAAGGGATTCCAGTGCCCTTGGGAAGTAAGCATCCTTATGCTTATCAGAGAAATTTGCATGGAACTTGAAGCAATGGAGAGAAGTAGAGGGAACGTCAGTGTCATTCCATCAGCCCTCCCACGCCTAAGCTGTAGAGGCACATGCCTGTAAGCCTAGTATTTGGAAGGCTGAGGCTGGAGAATCCAGAATCCAGAGTTCAAAACTAGTCTAGGCTGCAGGATGAGATAAAAAGTGAGTTATTGATTTCCCAACCTTGGAAATAACTTACTGGGAATGTTACATAAGAGATCCAAATAAAGGCTGGAATGTGGACCTTAGTTTTTTGTTTGTAAAGTCTTACTACCTTGAGAGTTGTGAACTAAAAAAAAAAAAAAATTGTGAACTATAATTATGTTTACAATTAAGTATTAGGCAGCCCTCTGTTCTATAGAATTAACTAATGTAGGAGTTGGAGTGATAGCTTAGATTTTTTTCAGTGTTTTATGTGTTTGAGTGTTTTGCCTGCATGCATGTCTGTACACCACTTAAATGCCTGGTACCTTTGGAGGCCAGAAAAGGGTGTCAGATCACTGGAACTGGAGTTAAATACAGCTGTGAACCTCTGTGTGGCCTGTGTGCACTGGCAATGCAACCTGGGTCCTCTGAAGAGCAGCCAATGCTCTGAACCACTGAGTCATCCCTCCTGCCCCAGGCGATGGCTTTTAAAAGCTCCTGTTCCTGACACTCTTCAGAAATGGCAGCTACTTCAGACTTCCCTGTGTTTGTTTCATAAAGCTCTGGCAATGAGGACATGCCGTTTCATTTGCAATTGATGTTTAGTACAGTGCCTGTTTTCCTCCAGCGAGTGCCCTTAAGATGACAAGCATAAGCCTCTTGGCTGACAGTGCCCATAGCGCTGCCCCTCCCCCACGAGCCCTGACTGTCCTTAGTGTTTAGAGTTGAAACACAGGGCTTGGAGCCTCATCTCCCTGTGGGTGACTCCAGAGAAAGGTGTCCTGTATGAACAGGACTTCCTGGACTGGGAATTCAGGCCAGTCAACTTCAAGAACAAACCTAGAGGGAAGGTGCAAAGGAGTTTGTGTGTCTGTGTGTGTACACCTTTGGAGGGTGTTAGATACTCTGGAGCTGGAGTTAAAGGTAGTTGTGAGCAAAGGTGCGTGTGTGTGTGTGTGTGTGTGTGTGTGTGTGTGTACACCTGTGGAAGGTATTGGATTCCCTGGAACTGGCGTTAAAGGTGGTTGTGAGCCACCCAGTGTGGGTACTGGAAACCGAACTCGGGTTCTCTGGTAGAGCAGCAAGTGCTTTAACTTGGAGCCATTCTAGCCCCCTTATTTATTTTTTTTTCTTTTTCTCATGTGTATCCCAGATTGTCCTTGAACTTAAGATCCTCCTGCTTCAGCCTTCAGAATGCTGGGATTAATAACACGAGGCGTCATGCCCAGCTTTGGAGTCACCTGTTTTTCCTAAGTAAGGACTTGTCCCTGAGCACCACACTCTGCTTGTTTTATAGAGTGGGTATTTCCGTCCTTATGCTCTGGAGCCATCTTCTGGAACGTTTATGGGCTAAGTGTTCCGTGCCCACACAGCAAGCATTGCTGGGCTTGCTTGTTGGGGGTTTATTGTGCTTCTTCCAACTGTTCCCTGGGCTCTGGAGTTTCATGTAATGCACAGCTAAAGACAGGCAGATCTGCCTTTGCCCAGGGCTGGATGGTCTGTGTAAGGCTTGTCAGAAGTGGGTGCTAGATGTCACTAGATGTTACACTGAGGGTAAGCAAGTCATGTTGGTTCTGAAGCCTATCCTGTAAAGATGGGAAGAGTCACACTGAAAAATTGAGAACCTCAAAATCAGAGTAAGAGAGTCCTGTATCTGGAATACTTGGTTTTTAGGAACAAGAATGCCCTTTTTGTCCCTCATTTCTCTATCAAGAAGAGAAAAATCATCACAAACCAGAGGTTAAAAATAACATTTCCGCCGGGCAGTGGTGGTGCACGCCTTTAATCCCAGCACTCAGGAGGCAGAGGCAGGTGGATCTCTGTGAGTTCAAGGCCAGCCTGGGCTACCAAGGGAGTTCCAGGAAAGGCACAAAGCGACACAGAGAAACCCTGTCTCGAAAAACCAAAAAAAAAAAAATAATAAAAATAAGAAAAAATAACATTTCCGCCAGGCGGTGGTGGTGCACGCCTGTAATCCCAGCACTCAGGAGGCAGAGGCAGGTGGATCTCTGTGAGTTCGAGGAAACCCTGTCCCGAAAAAACCAAAAAAAATAAAAAATAAAAAAATAACATTTCTAAGCCAAGAGGGCACTGAAATCAAAGGAAGCTCCTGCCCCTCCTAAAGCCAAAGTCAAAGCGAAGGCCTTGAAAGGCAAGAAGGCAGTGCTGAGAAGTGTCCACAGTCTCAAAAAGATCTGCACGTCACCCACCTTCTGGTGGCCCAAGACCCTGTAGCTCTGGAGGCAGCCCAAATCTTGAAAAACACACCGAGGAAAAACAAGCTTGACCACTATGCCATCATCCAATTGCCCCTGACCACTGAGTCAGCCATGAAGAAGATAGAAGACAACAACATACTCATTCATTATGGATGTCAAGGCCAACAAGCACCAATCACACAGGCTGTGAAGAGACTGACATTGATGTGGCTAAAGTCAACACCCTAATAAGGCCTGATGAAGAGGAGAAGGTGTATGTTCAATTGAGTCATGATTATGATGCTCTGGATGTTGCCAGCAAAACTGGCATCATCTAAACTGAGTCCAGCTGGCTAATTCTAAATACATACTTTTTTTTCACCATTAAAAAAAAAATAGCATTTCCACATAGAAGTGTGTAGAGGTTTCTCCAGTGTGTATGAACCCAAAGCTTCTGGTTGGATCCCCAGTGAACACACATGCACATGCTTGCATGCATGTATGCACACACACAAAGTTATGGCAGGCCAGTGACTAAGATATGCTCAACTATACCCTTCCTGTGGCCTGGCACCCATGAAGCAATGGGAGGATGCAGGATTCCACAAGCAAACAACTGCAGCCAGGCAGGGCCAGAGAGTCCTGGCCATTTTTCTTCTCTTTGAGTTTGTGGAACTTTTTGATTTTTGTATGTTTAGCTTTTAATTATCCATTACTGTATGTATACATGATGTGTATATATGGGTATGCACACGTGACAGCTTATGTGGAGGTCAGAGGACAACTTTACGGAGTCAGCGCTCTCTTCCCATTTCCATGTGGATTCCGGGGATTGAACTCATGTCATTAGGATTTTGTGGCAAGTATCCTTGCCCACTGAACCATCTTGCTGGCTCTAGTCTTGGAGTGGAGTTACATGAGGGGAAGGTAGAGTCTCACTATGTAGATCACTCTGGCTTTGAACTTGTGGAAATCTTCCCATCAGCCTCTAAAGTGCTAGGATTACAGGCATGCATCATCATGCCTGGCATTATTATTTTATTATTATTAATTGAATTTATTCATTTATTTTACATCCTGATGGAAGTTTCCCCTCCCTCTTCCTCCTATTTCCTTCCCCTATCTCCCTACTTCACCCACCCGCAAATGCACTTCTCTGTTTTGTATTTGAAAAAAAAAAACTTAGATTTTTAAAAATTTGCATTGTTAGAGTGTTTTGCCTGCATGTATGTGCATGCCTGGTGCCTGCAGGCATCAGAAGAGAGGAGCAGCCCCTCCTGCAACTGCAGGTTTAGATGGCTTCGAGCAGCCTTGTGAGTGTTGGGAGTCAAACCCAGTTCTCTGCAAGTGCAAGTGCTCTTAACCACTGCCACTTCTCTCCAGAGATGACATGAGTTCAATTCCCTGTCTTTGTATTTTAAAGGGAGAAGTTAAGAGCATCCTGAGGGGCTGGAGAGATGGCTCAGTGGTTAAGAGCACTGGCTGCTCTTCCAGAGGACCTGGGCTCAATTCCTAGCACCTACATGGCAGTTCACAACTGTCTGTAACGCCAAGATCTGACACCCTCACACCAATGCACATAAAATAAAAATAAATTTTAAAAAGGAGTTTCCTGGATTCATAGCCTATTTTTGGGTTGTTGTTCGTTGGTTGGTTGGTTGTTTTGTTTTTGAGACAGAGTCTCACTATGTAGCCCTGGCTGGCCTGGAACTTACTATGTAGACCAGGCTGCCTCAGAGATCTTCCTCTGCCTTCTGAGCACTGGGATTAAAGGCATGTGCCGCCATGCTTGACTTATAACCTGTTTTAATGCTTATCTTTATTTTGTTGTGTTTTTTTTTTATGTGTCTGAATGTTTTGTGTGCATGTATGTGTATATATGCACCATGTCCATGCCTGGTGCTGGTGGAGATGAGAAGAAAGTGTCAGGTTCCCTGAAATGAGTTACAGGCGGACTGTGAACCACAATGTGGGTGCTTGGAACTGAACCCAAGTCGTCTGCAAGAGCAGCCAGTGCTCTTAACTGCTGAGCCATCTCTCTAGCCCCCCCTTTTTCGGTTTTTGATAAGGGTCTCTGCCTGTACCCCCATGTGCCAAAGCACTCGTGGAGATCAGAGCACAGATTTGGGGGCAGATTCTCCCCCTCCCACATGGGATCCAGGGATTGAACTCGGGTCATCATCAGGTTTGCATAACAAGCAACTCTACCCACTGAGCTATCTGCCAGCCTCTGTTCTGGCACTGTCTCAACCACATTCACATTTCCTCAGTTCATCCAGAATGTTCTGTGCACCCCACTTAGCCAGCTGACTATCCAGTCTGGGATCACACACATGGGTGTTGAGTCCTTAACTTTGTTGTAATTTAACACATCCCCCTTTTTGGCCAGAAGTAGGATCTAAAGACTTCATGGATTCAAGCTAATCCAAAGGGATACCTCCCATGCAGTTGGGACAGAGATCTATATACATCACCTTGTACTAGAGGGACCTCATCCCTACATCGCCTTGTCCTAGAAGGACCTCATCCCTACATTGCTTTGTCCTAGAAGGACCTCATCCCTACATTGCTTTGTCCTAGAGGGACCTCATCCCTCCATCGCCTTGTCCTAGAGGGACCTCATCCCTCCATCGCCTTGTCCTAGAGGGACCTCATCCCTCCATCGCCTTGTCCTAGAAGGATCTCATCCCTACATTGCTTTGTCCTAGAGGGACCTCATCCCTACATTGCCTTGCTGCTTAGTGGCTTAAAGGCGAAGGACTAGTCCTAAAGTTTCAAGATGGAAGTTTTACTATAATTCAGGTATGGTGAGCCAGAAGATCAGGAAATAACTTTACCATAAAGAAATTTGTCACTCAGTTCCCCAGGGGAGGGGGCATGCCATGCATGCCACACAGAACCACACTGGGACCGTGCTAGGGTTGACCAGGGAGTAAGAGGAAACCATGGCAATAATCTTGCCATTTCCATGGAAATAAGAGACAGGCCATGCAAGATCTGAAGAGCAGGGCATGTATCTAGCTGTGATTAGGGCAGAATGGGGCCTGGAGTACAACATACTTGATAAAAGGGCTAGGCATGAAGATGTAGGACTGTTCTACTAGCACTCCAGAAGGTGAGAGGCAGGAAGATCATGAGTTCAAGGACAGCCCAAGTTAGATGCGAGACCCTGTGTCAGAAAAACGAAACCAAAGGCAGCAGATGGGGAATATGGGTCTAGGTTAGGAGCACTAGGAAGCCCGGACTTTTACTGTCTGTAGGAGAAGAGCAATCTCTCTAGGGCCTGGAGTGTTCCAGCTACAGAAACTAGTTAGTGGCACAACACCTAGAATCCCAGCACTTGGGAGGCTAGTGCAGGAGTATTGCCGTGAGTTCCAGGCCAGGAAAAAAACAAAAAAACCTAAACAAGCAAACCTAAAAAGCTAGGATTAATACAACTACATTTTGTTGGATAATGTTTATCATTCCTTTTACATTTGTTAGCTGGCATTTCTGTTAAAAAACAAAAAAACAAAAACATCAGGACTAAAGAGAGAGCTCGGTGATCAGGAACACTGACTGCTCTTGCAGAGGATCTGGGTTTGATTCCCAACATTCATGTGGAGGCTCATGACTGTAACTCTGGTTCTAAGGGATCCTGTGCCCTTTTCCGGTCTCTGCAAGTACTATATACATGTGATACACAGACATGCACTACAGCACACACATACACATAAAAGAATTTTTTTTAAAGACAGTGTTGGGGCTTGAGACATGGCTTAGTGGTTAGGAGCACTCACTGCTCTTAGAAAGGACCTGGGTTCAGTTTCCAGCACCCACATGGAGGTTCACAACCATCTGTAATTCCAGCCCCCAGGTACGTAAGCATGACCCGATCTCAAAGTAAATAATACAAATAGCTGCTGGGTTTTTCCCTTGGAAATTAAAAGCTTGGCCAGTTTTAGGTCAAACTAAATAAAGGGGGCAAAAAGGAGAGTGTATGGGGGACGGGATGAAATAGAATGAAATGCAGTGACGGATGTGTGAAAGCACTATCAAATCCATCACCATGGTAACTACTTCACTAAATCATGAGCTGTTACTACTGTGGTCCAGGTTCTTGACTTGCTAAGTGTGTGGAGTCCCAAGTACTCCTTTGGTTGTGTGTGTTGAAGACTGAGGAGGAGGGGGAGGGGAAGGGGGAGGAGCAGGAGCAGGAAGGGAAAAGGTGGGTTTACAGAAATCAAGGGAGGGCAGCAGACCCGACAGTGGTGGTGGGCAGAGTACTGAGAAATAAGGCCAGGACCTGGCAGGTGTTATCCAGGAGGGACTGAAAGCCACCAGGTTGGGGGACAGAGAGTGACACCCTAGGTATCACAAGAAGTCTTCTGTTGCTACTGTTTTATTTCTAGAGTGAATACCACTATATAGGTGAGTTAGTGGCCATAGCATTCCCGACTTTCATTCCCTGAGGGTTTTGGGGAGTATGGATTACTCCCCTCAAAGTGAGGAAAACACAATGTCATAGGCACTCTGCCTTACAGGTCCAGAGACTGGTAAAGAAGAAGAGTCACACGCCGGGCGGTGGTGGCGCACGCCTTTAATCCAGCACTCGGGAGGCAGAGGCAGGCGGATCTCTGTGAGTTCGAGGCCAGCCTGGTCTACAGAGTGAGTTCCAGGAAAGGCGCAAAGCTACACAGAGAAGGACCCATGTCTACATGCACGAGTGACAGGACCTCCCCATCTGGGGAATTGATGGGTCAGGGCTAAGAAGGGCTGGGCTGGGTGTGGAGAAGGGCCTAGAAAGTAGAGATGGATGCCCATCAGATGTAGACTCATTACTGCCCAGGGAAGCCCAGGTGGTGCATGGACCCACACTGGACATGTAAAGATGTAGGAAGATAGAGAGCCCAATAGGACTCTTGATGTTGAGTGAAGAAGAGGGACACCTGCAGCTCAGCCCTAGCCTGACATTTCTCCTTGACCTTTTCCTTTATATAATACCTTAATGCCTGCTGAGCCTAATCAGGTCAGTCACTTGAACATTCCCCTTCCTGATGATGTTGAGGAGTGAAGGGATAAGCTATCTATTTCCAGAACCCAAAGAGGTTTAGGATTAAGAAAAAAAAGAGAGAGCTTTTAATTAGCTGTTCCTCCCACTGCACCTTCCCCAGGCCAGCAGGATAGCTTGTGCATCTTTGGGATCCTCTGAGAAGATTGGAGCTCCCAGCTAATGCTTAGAACTGCTGAAATGGCCAATCTGCCATCTCACTAATCCAATCTCCTCCCTGCTCTTCAAATCTGATTTGGCTTTTAGACACTGAGACCTCAGTGCTGGGCATCCCTACCGATACCTACAAATTCCCCACGTGGCAGCCAGGGGCCTCACTCTTGCCCTGTGGGGTCATCTGGTGGGACTTCGCCAGTTGCCTCAGAACAGGAGCTGGCTGTTCACCATCTGTAAACACAGGGACCCTTTCCTGACCTCCTTGGCCATCCCAGCTGGTTTGTGGCAAATCACAAGGTAAGTGAGAGCCAAACCCAAGCAAGGGTAGACACAGGCCAACAAGGACAGGCATGCTTCTGCAGGGCGAGATGCTAGAGTTTGCTACCACAGGACTTTGCTTGGGAAAGAAACTTGGAGGGTCTTTAATCCTAGACCGTGAGATGGCCTGACTATCTGTCAGACTGAGGAGAGGGAACAGATACGTTGGTGGGGGAAAGGCCTTCTTGATGGAACTGTGGGGTTCTCATATGCTCCTGACAACATCATTTGGGGAGCAGTTCTGTTCTGGTGTGTTTCAGAAATGGTTTCTGTATGCTTACCACAAGGCACAAAAAAGCCAGGTATGGTGGTACACACCTCTAATCCTGGCAGTAGGCAGGAGGATTGCCAGTTTGAAGCCAACCTGGGCCACATAATGAAACAAGAGGAGTAGGAGGAAGAAGAAAGGATCTAATTATGATAACATTGTTTGGTTTTGTTTGTTTGATACGGTCTTACTATGTAACCCTGGCTGCCCTGGAACTCGCTATGTAGACCAGGCTAGCCCCGAATTCTCTACAACCTAGCTCTGTCTCTTGAGTGCTGAGATAATAGGTAGGAGTCACCACACCTGGAATGAAAGCATTTTAGACGTAACCTGACAAGTACATGACACCAACATTTAATCAGAAAAAGCCAAACTTCATTAGAATCTAGTTGGTGAAGTTTACTGACGTGTTTGAAGCTTACCAAGAAAAACAGAACACACCCCTGGGGAACTATGGGCCAGGTGTGGTAGCACAGGCCTTTAATCCAAGCACTCTGGAGGCAGAGGCAGGTGGATTTCTATCAGTTTGAGGCCAGTTTGGTCCACAGAGTGAGTTTCAGGCTAGCCAGGGCTATGTAGTGAGACCCCATTTCAAGAGTGGGGGTACTGGTGCTTGAGAAATGGCTCAGAAGTCACAAGTACTTGCTGCTTCTCCCGAAGACGTGAGTTGGGGTCCCAGCACCCAGGTCAGGAGGTTACAACTCTAGCTTCGAGGGATCTAACACCCTCTTCTGGCCTCCACAGGCATCTGTACACACGTGGTGCACATAGAAATAAATGAAATATTTTTTAAGCTTACCCTACAGTGAAGTGCAACCAATCAGCTGATTTGATCAAGCGTGGATGCTGAAGCATCCATGGGGGAAATGTCCAAGGGAAGAAGACTCAGGAGTGGGCTTTACATCCAGAGTGTCCTTAATTTTATGTTTGGGATTGTACTTTCCCAGCCCTCCAACCTGACGTAGTTCCCAAGGGACAGACAACATGGCAGCCTGTGTGAAGACCAATAAGTCCCACATCATCTTCAAGAAGGTCTCTCGGGACAAGTCGGTAAGTGGCACGGAAGAGAGGGGCTTCATGGAGATTCCTGTAAGAACAACAGGAAGCAGACATTTGTCAAGTGTAAGCATGACCAACATCCAGCTGCCAGGAGGCCTAGGGATGCTCTATGTCCACGGGCTGGGCAGCCAGTGAGAGGACCAAGGAACACCGATGGATCCTGCATCCCACCATCTCTCAGTCCCGTTGTCCCCACAACCTTGTTACTCTTCCTTGCTAAGTTACGGGAATGTGTTGTGTGTTACAGCGCAGGCCAATTTGAAAACACACTAAGGCTGGCGTATCTAGTGGCTACCTAATGGACAGTGCAGCTCTGCCTCAGTCTACCACCGGTTTCCTTATGGTGCCTCACAGAGGAATCGGCTTTTCCCGTGTCCCTTCCTGCCTGCTCCTCTGTGGGCCGGAAGTGTCATCATTTTCATCAAGCACGTGGGTTCTTTGTGGTGATAGCTTTGGTACCCTACATCTTTTCGTTCGCCAACGTTTATTCCCACTGTGTCTGTTCAGCCCCTTTCATCTCCACTTCCGACAGAAAAGGAATCGCTTTGTGCTAGTTTCCATGGTCACTTACCATTTCCCCCCAATACCTAACAGACATCCATTGTCTAAGGCCATGCCTCCTTGAAATGTGTTTAAACAGAAATCATTTGAACAAGAAATGTATTTCCTCTTTCCCTCCCTCCCTCCCTTCCTCCCTCTCTCCTTCCCTCCTGTGGTACCAGGGAATGACACTTGGGGCCTCATACATGCTAGGCCAGTACCCCACCACTGAGCTATATATATATCCCCAGCTCTAATTTTATTTCTATTCTGAGACAGAATCTTATGGAATTTCCTGGGCTGGTCTTGAACTTGGACTCCTCCAGCCTTGGCCTCCTGAGAAACTAGGATTGCAGGCATGTGCTGCCAGGCCCTGCTTAGTTTTTTGCTGGTCCAAGGGTCAGAGTGGAGGAGAATCTGTCAATTAATGTTTCATGTACTGGGGTTTTCAATGGCAACCTCTGTCTGCCCCAGTCTTGGGGTGCCTGGCCTCTGCAGCTATTTCTCTGTGATTCTTTCTTCTGTGATATCCTCAGGCTGGTGGTGAGCACCCCAGCTCACTTCGGTTCATGGTTTGAGGGTACAGCCCAACACAGTGGGGCTGGCCTGGTGGCAGGAGCATGAGGTGGTTGGTCCTTAGGCAGGAAGCACAGAGAGATGAGGGACTCTTAGGGTGTCTTTTAAAGGCCAGGAAACCTTTCCCAGGAGCTCTCTAGACTTGCCTCCTGTATTCATCGGTTGGGCCTGCATTACCTGCCTACACTAAGCCAATCACAAGCCAAAGGAATTAGACGGTCAGAATTGGATCAGAGCAATCAAGAAACATTCCCAGAGCTGGAAGTGGCAGCACACACTTCCGATTTCAGCACTCATGAGGATCCCAAATTCAAGGCCAGCAAGAGCTACACAGAAAGAACTTGTCAAAGAGAAAGGAAGGCATGCAGGCTGGCTAGCTGGCTGGGGAGGTGGCTCAACAGTTAAGAGCACTTGTTGCTTTTGCAGAGGACCTGGGTTCAGTTCCCAGCACCCACCTGGTAACTAACAACCATTCATAACTCAGGTTCTAGGGGATCAGTTGCCCTCTTCTGGCTTCTGCAGGCACCAGGCACACACAGTATATATACATACATACATACATACATACATACATACATACATACATCCATATACATACATACATACAAGCAGGCAAAACATTCATGCATATAAAAACAAAAAAAAATATTAAAGAAAAAGGCAGGGTTGGGAGAGGGGAGAGAAGAAGGGGGGAAACCCATTAGAGCTGGCCTCCTCTTAGCATGCTACCTAACGAGGATGGTGTGGATCTTGAGTGTGACTGGCTGTTTTAGCCAGGAAGAAGATGTGTTTAGTTGTAGGTGGGGTGCCAGAAGTCTGTTGGTTTCACATGGCAACCCTTCTCCTCCACCTGTTCCTGTCCTTGCCATGCCTTTCCAGGGCAATAGAAGAGTGGTCTTGTTCCCAACTGAGTTCAGAGTCGCTCACCCCTGGGTAAGACTCATGATGTACCACCTCGGGAAACTTAGTCTCATTTAATCTGGATTGGATCTACAGCCTTTCCCAGAGTGGGAACAGGTCTTAGCTGGGCTTGACAGCACACACCTTTAATCCCTGTACTCAGGAGGCAGAGGCAAGTGAATCTCTCTAAGTTTGAGGCTAGCCTGGTCTACATGGCAAATTCCAGGACAGCCAGGGCTATGTAGTTAAACCCTGTCTCAAAAACAAAAAATGTCTTAGCACCCTGCCTCTTATAATAATGACTATCAAAAGCTCCCCTTGGCCTCCAGCTCCAGTTCTCTCTCTTCCAGCCAAAGCTTGGGAGAAGAAAATGCTTCCTCCATCTCCTCACCTTCATGCTCCTGGAGACTCTTCACCCCTCTCTTTTCCCAACCATAAAGAGGCTGCATGCCTGGCTCTCCTTGCTAATCCTCCTTCCACTTAGCTTCCAGCAGGGCCCAGAGCTCAGTGTCTGTAGAAGATAGGGCCAATCTCATCTTCCAGAGTTGTTTTGAATTTGAAATGACCAGTGTCTAGAGTCTTCCTGGGCTCCTCAGGCCTGAGTCCTAGAGACCTTGCCTCACTCAGCCTTCATCCTCACTCTGTGGCCACCTGCTGCAAAGGAGGCCATTGCTGACTCCAGAAGCATTCTCTTCACTCGGGCATCTTGCCATCTCTTTTGCCCAGAGAGCCACCCCTGCCTGTTGTCCAGCCACCTGCCTGTGCCATCTGCTCAGGCAGAGCCTCCTTCAAAGGCAGAGCTCCCCTTCTTCCTGACCACACCCTTTGCCTGCCTCTTCCCCACCACTTACCTCAAACCTAAAGGTAGCAACCTGGAGAGGTTTTGTCCCCATAGACCAGTGATATGGTGAGGCCTCCATAGTCCTGAAGCCAGATGAGGGCATGAACTGGGATGGGGTTGCAGATCTTGAATGTTCCTGTGGTACCATAGGCTGAAAGATGTTAGGCATGATGACTGGTGCCCCTAATTTTAGCACTTCGAGAGGCTAAGGTAGGAGGTTTGAAGTCAGCCTGGGCTACACTGCGTGTTCTAGGATAGCTTGTACTATAGAATGAGAAACACTATCTCAAAGTAACTCAGGGACAGCCAGAGTATGCTGAGATGCAAGAGACTTGAAGTGCCCAATTGTTCTCTTGAAGCATGGGTAAGCATGGGTAGGGGCTTCCTCAGCTAGAGATGTAGCTGAAGGGCCTTCCTTGCTGTGCAGGCAGCAGGAACAGATGGGTTCATCAGAGCTGCCATGGCCAAGGCCAAGGCCAAGGTGAAGACAGAGGGGCCTGGAGCCCAGAGGTAAGGATCCTATTGGCCACCTTCAAGGAACTGGATGCTGTTCTACAGGAGGGAGGAGCAGGCACATCTATGAATCAGGAGGTGGCCACATGTTAGGGTTCCTGCAAGAGCACAGATAGGTTGGATTTGAGGAAAGTTTGTGTTCCTGGGTAAAACTCAAGGTCTACTACCACTGGGAACCTAGTCCCATCTGGTCTGGTTGGGTCTGTAGCACTGGGCACAGGTGCTTCCCTGGTCCGAGGGGATGGGGTATCCAACAGGTTTCAGAACCCAGAAGCCAACAGGCCACCTTCTGGGAACTATGACCATGTTTAGAGGAATGTGCCAGCCATGGGCCAGGCAGGAAAGCAGGGGGCAAACACCAGCTCCCCCTTCTCTCTCCCTCTACTTTTGGGTCCATCCTACATAGAAAACAGAGGGCCAGGGAGTTCACTGGGTGAGTCAGCTGGGCTAGCCTCTGAATGGAACTCTGGTCTAGAGGGTGAAGCTTGGCGCCTGCTGCTGCACACTTTGCAATGTCCCTGCATCCCATGCCCAGATCCCACCCTTCCCAGGCTGCAGAGACACCATGCACAGATTTACAAGGTTTCTCACGGGATCTTCTCTGTTAATAGGGATCTAGAGGCATTTGCTTGATACAACCTCCACCATCAGTCATGCAAATGGACCCACCCTGGGGACAAATGATATATTGTAGAGGATTTGAGTATAAGACATAATTTAATATCAAAAATCATTTGGAATGTTTGCAGAAATAAAAAATGTGTACTAGCCAGGGGATGGGGTCTTGCTCATTGGTGTACTTAGCAAGCACTGATTGAATCCCTCTATGTATAATCATAGGCTGTAATAAATACTGAGAAGGCTGAAAGGGGCATAGAACACTCTAGATCATCAGTTCTCAACCTGTGGGTTGCGACCCCTTTGGGGGGAGTTTAACGACTCTTTCACAGGGTTTGCCTAAGACCATTGGAAAACATATTTACATTACAATTCCTAACAGGAGCATAATTACAGTTATGAAGTAGCAACGAAAATAATTTTATGGTTGGGGGTCACCACAACATGAGAAACTCTATTAAAGGGTCATAGTGTTAGGAAGGTTGAGAACCACTGCTCTAGATCCTCACCTCAAGGACTTTGTGGTCCTTTGGTAGAGCAGTGAGCAGCAGGGAAGCAGCTTTACAGAAGAATAGGCAAGGAGACTGGCTACCACGAGCAGGGACGGCGTCCCCACCAACTCAGCTCCACCACCTCCTTCCTGAGCGAGTGGTTACCGGTTACCTGTGCAGAGCTCACCCGATGGCATGTCAGGCTCCTCTGGAGTTCCTACTTCTTTGGCTAATCCAGAAAGTCTCTGAACAAGAAGACAAGGCCTTTCAGTGCTAGAAATAGAAAGCTGACCGTGTCCATAGGCATAACCTTCCACGAGTGTATGGGTTGTTTATACAGACCTGAGCTTGATGGGAAGGACAGAACAGAGTGGAAAGGATTCCCGCCATCCCTGTGGATGGAAGGAGTTCCTGGGAGCTGATATAGGGCTGGAAGAAAGCACCCTGTACTCGGAATGAACCATCTTTACCCACAGCCGGGAGAGAAGGAAGCCACAGAGCAGCTGTGGAGCCAAGTGACTCCTCCTTTGAAGACTAACGGAAAGGGCTGAGGCTCCAGGGTAGAGGGCTTGCCGTGCATGTGTGTGGCCCTGGGTTTGATGCTCAGCACTGAATAAGAGGAAGAGAAGAACACTAGTGGAAAGCTTGGGGTTGTTGACAGCTAAGTGAATGCCTTTGTTGTTCCCACAGGTGACTATTTACCTGGGGAAGAGAGACTATGTTGACCATGTCAGCCAAGTAGAGCCTGTAGGTAAGTTGAATTTGGAGGAAAATTTAATGCTAGTTTTTCATTAGTCATCAGACAATGACTAGTTTTTCATTAAAAAAAAAAAAAAAAAAAAGGATTTCCAGCCAGGCATGGTGATGCAGAGGCACAGTGGTGCACGCCTTTAATCTCAGCATTTGGGAGGTAGAGGCAGGTGGATCTCTGTGAAGTCAAAGCTGGCCTGGTCTACATGATGAGTTTCTGGACAGCCAGGGCTACATAGAAAGACCATGTCTCAAAAACACAAACAAACAAAAAGATGGATCTCAGGTTGGAGAGATGGCGCAGAGGTTAAGAGCATTGGCTGCTCTTGCAGAGGTCCTAAATTCAGTTCCCAGCACCCACACGGCAGCTTACAACCATGTGTAACTCCATCTCCAGAACATGTGATGCCCCCTTCTTGCCTCAGTGCACAGTACATGTAGATGATATACATAAATGCGTACATACATCCATACATATAGGCAAACACCTCTCTCTCTCTCTATATATATATATATATATATATGTATATATATATATACATATATATATAAAGCAAATATTTAAAAAATTCAATGTCACAAATAATCTAACCAAAGAGATACAAATGAAAATGACCTCAAGTGGCTACTGGTCGATCAGAAACAGTTTATTTTTACAGTTATTTATTTATTTGGGGGGAGGGCATATGTGTGGAGGTCAAAGGACAATGTGGTATAGTCAATTCTCTTGCATACAAAACCTGTGTATGGTTCCACGGACTGGACTCAGGTTGCCAGGACTGTGCAGCAAGCACCTTTACCCACCAAGCCATCTTGCTGGACCCTCAAATTAAAAAAAAAAAAATTAAAGGGCTGGTTTGTAGCTCAGGACTTGCCTAGTGCAAGGCCCTGGGCTCAATCTTTAGTACTACAAGAAAACGTTCGTCTCTCTGCTTCCTGACTGGGCATGCAATGTGGCCAGCTGCCTCAAGCCCCTGCCTCCATATTTTCCCCATCGTGATAGATTGTACCTCAAACTGATGCAAAGGAGACACATAAAGACTCAAAGGAGGCTTTGAGCAAGAGAAGATGTCTGAGGTAAATGGGTTGGAGAAGCCAGAGACAACAGAAATTGTCCTAATCCTAAAACTTTAAATGCACTGGGCCTAAGGGAGGAAGTAGCCAAAAACCACCGCCAATAGCTTCTGTATGTGTTTCTGGGTGAATATGTGGCTGGACCGGCCATTCCTTATATCTCCAGAGCCACCTAGACTCTAGGAAACACCTAGGAATCCAACTATCTGTTAAAAAAAAACTGTTCCTATATGTGATTTTCCTGACACAATATTAATATATTTCAATTTTTCAAATGCAGAAAGAAAGATGGCCAAGAACAGGCAGTGGCAGTGCCAGTCATGAGGATGCCAAGGAACTGGCCCTGTGCACCGCTGCTGGGAGTGTGCAGTGCCCCAGCCACTAGGAAGGCAGCTTGGCAGCTTCTTTAGGAACTGAATGTACATAGGACCCAACAGTAGCACTCCTGGGTATTTGTTGAGAAGGCAAAACCATGCATACAAAACCTGGCTGGACATAGTTGTTCACAGAAGCTCCAAACCGAAAAGAACGAAAATTTCTCTTCAGTAGATGAATAAGGCTAAACAAACTGTGGTATATCCATACCATGGATTACTATTCAATCACAAAAAAAGAACAAGCAGCTAGTTGTTATGGCATACATGGTTTCCCAGCACTTGGGAAACTGAGGTAGGAGGATTGAGAATCTGATGTCGGCCTGGGCTGTATAGGACAGACACTTTCTCAAAAAAGAAAGGAAGGAAGGAAGGAAGGAAGGAAGGAAGGAAGGAAGGAAGGAAGGAAGGAAGGAAGGAAGGAAGGAGAGGGTATAAGAAGTGTGACCTATTGATAACTGCAACAACTTCGAGATCTCTAAGGCATTATGCTGGGTAACAAGAGCAATCTCAAAGGGGTGTGGACTTCATGGTTCCCCTTACGTAACGTTCTCATGATGACAAAATTCTACCGACAGTGCTTGCCAGGGGCTGAGGATGCTGGGAGCAGGGATGGGTGGCACGAGAGAGCCCAAAGGACAATTCTAAATGTCGACTGTGGTGCTTGTGACATGGGTCACCTGTGTTAAAGTAGCACAGACCTGTGCACAGCCATGGTGTGCTTGTCCATGTTTGTAAGCCGTAAGCCCAGGAGGCAACGGGACAGAGGACACCGGAGCCCTGTGTACTGGCTCTGCAACTTCCTCTGGCTTGATAAGCATTAACTATCTATCAAACGTTTGAAAGAAATATGGGGGAACTTGGCAGTTTTAAGCACTGAAAATAAACACTCCCTCAGTGGGTAAGGATTCTTGCTGCCAAGATTCACAATCTGAATTTGATCCCCAGAGCCACATTTTAAAAATTACTATTCTTATTCTTGTATGTGAAAGTGTATGGGCCTGCCTGTATGTATGTGCACCACATGCATGCAAGAGCCCTTGGAGGGCAGAAGAGGCATTGGCCCCTCTGAAACTGGGGTTACAGACAGTTGTGTGTTGCCATGTGGGTGCTGGGGACCAAACCCAGGTCCTGTGCAAGAGCAGAAAGTGCTCGTAACTGCTGAACCGTCTCTCCAACCCCTAATAACAAAACTACGATTCTTAAAAACAATAAAAAGCAAGCTGGTTTGGTGAATCAGGCCTGGAGGTAGGAGGATTACTTGTTTATGGTCATCCTTAGCTATGTACATAGCAAATCCAAGGCTAGCCTGGGCTACATGAGACCCAGTCTCAACCGCCTACCTCCAAAATAAAAACAGAAGACACAATATTGTATCTAGCTTTAAAGCCAGATGTCTGGTTTTCTTGGTCTCACTCTCTGGGTTTCCTCTCTTTTGGTTTTAGATGGTGTTGTTTTGGTGGATCCCGAGCTTGTGAAGGGGAAGAAAGGTGAGATGAACGAGCCCCTGGCTCCTCCTCACTGCCCGTCCTTCTGGCAGTGAAGGTTATCTCTGTGGATAACAGGCTTTCATGTGGGAAACCATGCCTAGTGAGAGGCAAGGGGATAAAACCCAGAGTTTATTTTTCTGTGTCCTTGCAAAGTTCTGTGCCACAGTATCATGGTGCCCTTGAGATCTCTGGCAGCTGGGATGTGTGTGGCAAGCCATTTGTTACTAATGACAGTTGAAAAAACTGAATTAGAACAGATTCGAGCTATGCTTATGATAATGTCGCTGACTCAGTTCCATTCTAAATATGCCTTTGGAGTGGTTGCTACTGGCAACCACAGGGCATTGTTCTAAACCTTGGATGTACCCGCTAGAATATGTCAGGTGTGGGCTGGCAACAGTGTGGGGAGTGAGAGGGGGCAAGGCAGGAATGGCCGGAAATTGTTCTCCTCTGTTGCCCCACCTTCCTGGGTGCTCTGCGGCTCTCTGGTTCGAACCCAGTCAGCCCCTGCCCTTTACCACACAGGGATTCAGTTTTCAGGGGCAACCACAGCCTGGTGGGTGCAAGCAGAAATCCAGGCCTGCTGTGGGCACCTTTCTCAAGCACTCACCTCAAAGGAAGCATGCACGAGTGCTTAGTGGTTCGTCTGAGTTGGTAGTTAAGAGACAGCTGGCCTCCGAACTGGTACGGAGGAAATTCTCAGGCAAAACTAGAGGACTTGAGGCACCACTTTGACAAGCCTTGCGATGAAGAACTATGCACTTCCTGTCTTCAAAAAACTTGATGGGAACTTTCATACACTGGGCACAGGCCGTCTTTAATCAGAGAGAATTTTGGGAAGTGGTGATTTAGAGAATGCTTAATATGCTTCTGAGCAATGTACCAAGACTATACCTGAAACTTTTCCGGTTTGATTTTGTCTCTCTGCCTGGCCCAGGCCTTTGACTGTTCCCTCGGCTTCCACATGGCTCAGGCACACGTCATTTTCGCTTCTAGCACTCTCTGTCTGTCTGTCTCTCCAGACGTCCTGCCCTCTCTAACCCAAGCAAGCACATTAGCACCATTTCAGACGTCCAACTCCAGGTCCCCAAGCTGGTGGACCAGGCGGAGGGAGGGTGGGAGAGCGGACACAGGAGGATGGGTGGACTGCACATGTTGTCTGTCTGCATATTTTTAAACATTGATTACATTGTTACTTATGTACGTATGTATGTGATAGATGCAGAAACACTAAGGCACACCTGTGGAGGTCAGAGGACAACTTGTGGAAGAGTCGGTTCCCTCCTGCCACCATGTGGGTCCTGGAGATGGACTTCCGTTGTCAGGCTTGGCAGCAGACACCTTTCCTCAATTAGCCGTCTTGCCAGCCCTGTCGACAGATTTCTACCATCCTAGCAAAAATAATGTGGTTGCCAGGGAGATGCCTCTCAATCCTGTGACAGCCCTGTTTAGGATAACGAACTCTAACCCTAGGAACGTGCTGATTCTCTCAAAATGTGTCAGCCAGCTGCAGAGTATTAGTCTCTTGGCCCCTATTCCTTCCAGGCAGCAAAGCCTGGAACCAGGGCAGACAGTGTGGTGTGGTCACTCTGTTGCTGGCTCAGCCCAGTGGAAGTGGCTGGGGTAGACGGGCCTGCGCAATGGACCAGGTCTCACCTGTGTGCATCTTCTTCCCAGTGTATGTCACTCTGACCTGCGCCTTCCGCTATGGCCAAGAGGACATTGATGTGATCGGCCTGACCTTCCGCAGGGACCTGTACTTTTCTCGGGTCCAGGTATACCCTCCCGTTGGGGCCATGAGTGCCCCAACCCAACTCCAGGAGAGCCTGCTCAAGAAACTGGGAGACAACACGTACCCATTTCTGCTCACGGTGAGCTCTCTTTCCCCTGCTGCTCCCCTGGCTTGCCTCCTTCATCCACAGTACCTCACAGTGGGAACGGGGCAAAGAGAAGGGGGCAGAGGGAGGATTTCACATATGTGGGCCTGTAAATTGCACCCTTGAAAGAAATTCTAGATTGCATGGTCTGTGATTGTCTGTTTTTAAGTCTTTGAAAATAGCCTCCCTGCCTCTGAAGGCCCCATTTCAACCTGCCCTTTGGTTATTTTCCTTCATCTGACTGCCTAATTAGATGAGTATGTGTTCTGTCTTCTCTCATTCAGCTATAAAAAGAAACTGGTAGCAATGACCCCCAGTTGGCCCCAGGGAGTTCTAAGCAAGCAAGAGCCCCCTATGGACAGGAGGTCTTGGTAGAGAAAGTATCTTTCTTTACCCTTTTGCCCCCACCCTGCTTCCCCACATGGTGCTGGGAATTGAGTCAGGGCCTTGGTCTGTCCCCTCACCTCTCCTGAGGCCCATGTATCACCCAGTAAAACCCAAGTCCTGGGCAAGAGCCGGGGGCGAGGAAGCTACTGCGGCCCTTTCTGTTTGCACGGTTACTATCTTATTGACATTTGCTCTTCCTCCACATAAGTGCTGTGGTTCAGCCTCATGAAGCTGCCCAAGTCAGAACATGGATGGACCCCCAAAACATGATGCCCCATAAGAGAAGCCAGGCACAAAGGAAAAACAGTGTCATACAGTCCCACTTCCTTGATGCGATGGGCATAGCCCATTCATTAAGACAGAAAGTAGGAGACCAGGTCTACTGGCGTGTGGGGAGGACAGGGATCCCAGGCTCCGTGGACAGAGCTTCTCTTTGGGTCAATGGAAAAGGCTCTGGAGACAAATGTGGTGACTGTTGTTTGGCAGTGTGAGCAGATCTAATCACAATGAAACACACATTGAAGTGAGCTAAAATGGTAAGATTTCATGATGTTCTATGTTACCACAATTATTAATATAAAATTCTTTTTAAAAAGATTATTTAGCCACGCGTGGTGGTTCATGCCTTTAATCCCAGCATTCAGGAAGAGGAGACAGACGGATCTCTGAATTTAAGGTCAGCCTAGTCTACAGAGCATGTTCCAGGACTGCCAGGACTATGCAGAGAAACCCTGTCTTGAAAATAGAAACAAACAAAATTCTTTAGTCCTGGGTGCTCCTATGCACCTGTGCTGAGAACCTGAAATGACATAACTTCTTTTGGTGACATGCCAATGCATATCAAAAACTGTTAGAGGCCAGGTATGTTGGTATATGCCTTTAATCCCAGTACTCAGGAGGCAGAGGCAGGAGGATCTCTGTAAGTTCAAGGCCAGCCTGGTCTACATAATGGGTTCCAGGTCAACCAGAGCTACACAGAGAGACCCTGTCTCAAAAACACAAAAAAATTAGGCCAGATGTAGTGGCATGTATCTTTAATATCAGCACTTGGGAGGTAGAGCCTGGCGGATTGCTGAGTTTGAGGCCAGTTTGGTATACACAGTGAGTTCTACATAAGATAGCCAGGGTACACAGAGAAATCCTGTCTCAACTCTCACCCCAAAGAATACAAAAAAAAATTTTAAAAAATCTTTAGAAATGGGATTTTTTTTTTAAAGATTTATTTATTTATTATGTATACAGTGTTCTGTCTGCATGTATCCCTGCAGGCCAGAAGAGGGAGCCAGATCTCATTACAGATGGCTGTGAGCCACCATGTGGGTGCTGGGAATTGAACTCAGGACCTCTGGAAGAACAGCCAGTGCTCTTAACCTCTGAGCCATCTCTCCAGCCCTGGGATTTTTTTTTTGAGACAGGTTCTCCAGGCTGTCCTGGAGCTCACTATGTAGATCAGGCTGCCCTCAAACTCAGATCCTCTTTCCTCTGCCTCCCAAGTGCATGAGCCAGCATGCCTGGCTAGTAATGAGATGAGATCTTTAGGTGCTGGAGGTATAGTTTGGTGCTGGAGCACTTGTGTAGCATGCACTAATTTGGTTTTTGAATTTGGTCCCCTGTACAGAAAAACAAACAAAAAACCCAACAAGCAACAGCCAAAGGCTGGAGAGATGGCTCAGCGGTTAGCTGCTCTTGCAGAGGACCAGGGGTCAGTGTTCAGCATCTGAATGGCAGCTTACACTTACCTATAACTCCAGTTTCAGAGGTTCCATCACCCTCTTTAGGGCTCCATGAGCGTCAGGCACACATGCAGTACACATATATACATGCAGGCAAAACACTCATACACATAACATTTAGAAAGTAATAAATCTTTTGAAAATGTGGCTTTTCAGCCATGAATAATGGCATACAATTGGAATCTCAGCAATATGGAAGCAGAGGCAGAAGGATTGAAAGTTCAGGGCCAGCATAGACTAAATAGAGAAAGACCCTGTGTCTCCCTCACCCCAAACAATAAACTATGATTCTAGTCTGAATCTGGTCCCTTTCTGGCAATGTAACACAGCATTAATTGGTAACACTGGACTAAAGGGTTTGAAGATATCTATTTATTGTGGCATTGTTTTATTTTGTTTGTTGTTGGTTTCTCAAGACAGGGTTTCTCTGTGTAAACAGCCCTGCCTGTCCTGGATCTCACTCTGTAGCCCAGGCTGGCCTCAAACTCACAGAGATCCACCTGCCTCTGCCTCCTGAGTGCTGGGATTACAGCACTGCTTGTGGTATTTTTTATAATGGCAAAAAAATTAAATACCATGAAAGTGCCCAACAAAGAGGAACGGCTACATGAAGTGTGCACTGTGGAAGCTCTGAGCACTGTGGAGAGAAATTGTAATTCATGGTGTGTAAAAACGGTTAGAAAGATTTCTGAGTAGGATAAGGGCTAGTGAGGCGAGCGAACCAGATAGTGAGACACATTTGGTCCCAGTGAACATGTGCCCTGTGTACAACTTCATTTGTGTGTTTTTATGCATGCTGGAGATTTTTAAATCAGTGTCCTGGGTGTTAGGGGAGCGGGAGAATTCTGTCTTTTCGTGTCATCTTGCATGATGGTTTTATACTGCATGTCGAATAGCCCCTCTGAATGAAATGGTTTTGTTTTTGTCTTTCCAGTTTCCTGACTACCTACCCTGTTCAGTGATGTTGCAGCCAGCTCCACAAGATGTAGGGAAGGTGAGTTAAAGAAGAAATGCCACAGGCCCCTCCTCTTTCAATAGGCTTTTGATGGTTTGTTTTTGAGGCAGGGTCTCATGTAACTGAGACTGACCTTGGACTCCTGATCTTCCTGCTGCCGCCCTTCCATGTGCTGGGATGATGGTCATGAGCCACCATGCCAGGTTTTCAGCAGACCTTTAAAGTAGCTTTTTATCATGGAAAATTTCAACTATACGCAAAGATAAAGGGCCCAGCTTAAAGACTCTCCATGACCCCACCACCCATCTCCAGCAATTATTAACCATGAACATTCTTGTGAACAAGAGATCAGAAGCTCCCAGGTCTCACATGTTAATGGAAAGTCACAGGCAACAACAAAAACCCACAAGCAGGGTGTATTAGCTGGCCACAGGTATCTGGAAAGCCTCAGGCTTGTGTGAGGGAGGGACAACAGGTGACATTTAAAGTCAGAATCCTTATGCTAAGAAGAGGGGAAAGCTCGACTCTGCAGCGAGAGAGGCCCCGATCCTTGTGGTGGAGGGAACATGTCCAGGCTCTTTCCTGCTAAACGAGGGGAGAAGGGATGAAGGGTGGGAGCTGAGGTCTGGGGGGAAGCATAGGAAAGCCAGGACTGGAGGACTTGGGTTTGAACCTGAGTGACATGGGAGCCACTGAATAGCAGGCCTTGAGTCAGGTGTACAAAGGGTCAAGAATGGATCTGAGGTTGGTCAGGCTTGTGCTGTGAAGGGGAAGGGAGGGAAAGGGGAGTGTGACCAAGATGGACTAGAGACTCCAGGCACAAAGGAAGGAATGAAGACCAGAGGAGAAGGGGACCAAGACTGACCGTGACGGCAGGTCTGCACCTGAGCATGGAGGACAGGGGACAGTGGTTGACAATGACAGGTGTAAGGACACTGTTCCTCAGGGTGGCATCATCACTCACTCGTGGTTCATAGATCAGAAATATCATTAAAACAAAAATGGGTGGGATGGACGCTCTCAGAACTGGTCACATGTTGCAAAGGTCAACGTCATGTCGGGAGAGTGGTTTCACACATATGTGTCTGTTTTCTAGGCCACACAGTAAATATTACTTCTAAAATATTTGAGTGCCGTGGTCCAGCGAAGCTGAGCACAGCTGAGATCAGGGATAAGGAGGTCACTCAAGAAAAGGGAGGCCAGGAACTAAGAAAATACACCTGAGCCATGTCAGATCCACCAGTGCTCTTTCAAGGAGGCTCCAAATCCTGATTCTTCCATGACCTTTCTGGAGTTTTACAACCCTGTGGAGGCCAGAGCCACTCCCATCCCCTGTATTCTTAGAGGGGAGAGCTTCTTAACTTGGTAGGAAGGCTTCTGGGCTAGGAACCTCCAGTATCCTAGAGCTGGAGACTTGGTTGCAGATGGGAGGCTTGAGGGACACATAGGAGATTATCAGATACATATATATAAACAAATATATAGAAATATAATACATATATATAACATTATATATGAATATAATACATGCCATTTTATGTATCATAAATTACATGTTACAATCATATATAATATTATAGTTTATTTGATGTTATATTAATAAAATGATAATATAATATACTTTACTACTATATAATGGTTACACAAAATAATGTCTTAACATTATATAATAGTTAACAGTGTATAATTTATAAGCAGAAATTTTTAAAATACATGATGTATTATTATGTTATTATTCAGTTTTATACACTATAGAGTGAGTGCTTCAGCCTAGGGCAGCCACAGAGCCCAGGGAGGCCTGTAGAAGTGTGTGACTTGTTCAGAGACCAACACAGAGTGGGGCAGATGGCTGGGATGGGTGGATGACGAAACAGGCTGCCTGCACATTGCCTGACTGATGGAAGGGACACTTGTTTCTTTACAACCTGCAGTTAAAAGGTGCTGTGTCCCTTAGTGTCAGAACCTTTAGTTCTGTTGTAACCGGAGGTGGAACTTTATGTCCTGACCACCTGTTCCCAAAAACCTAACAGCCGCTTCCCAAATTACCACACAGAAGCTTATATTAATTATAAATGCTTGGCAGATGGCTCAGGCTTATTACTAACTAGCTCTTACATTTAAATTAACCCATTCTATTAATCTATGTATTGCCATGTAGCCATGGCTTTTCTGGTCCTCTGGCATCTTGCTTCTTGGGCAGCTGGCTCACGTCTCCCCCAACTCCACCCCTCTTCCTCTGAGTCCTCAGTTTGCTTGTTCCACCTAACCTTATCCTGCCTTGCCATAGGCCAAAACAGCTTTATTATCAACCAATGAGAGCAACACATATTCACAGTGTACAGAAGGACCACCCCACAGCCGTCACCTGTAGCACTGAGACACAAGAGACATCCTTGCTGTCTCTGATTTTCTCTCTAGGCAGAGACCAGGACGTACTGGGCCTACACAGGGAACTGAGGACTGGGGATCACAGGCATATGGCATTTACTCCATCCATGAAGGCTTCAAAGTTCTCTTTCATTTTGAAAATTAGGTGATCTTACCATTTTACCTCATTTTGAAGGGGGAAAAAAATCAACCATTGTAAGCCATTGCTGTCTGGCCAGAGTTGACTTTGCAGGAGCCACTGAGGTCAGAATGTTTGCAACGCTGCAGAACATTCATGGATACTGCTCCCAGCCCCAAGAACCTCTGTGTCTGTCCCCACTGCTGTGTGCAGCATTTGTCAGAAGTTTTTGCAGGGTCAGGTTGTATATTTGTAAAGAAAGTAGAGGGAGGCATGGATGTACCAGGACTTGAGAAGCACATCTCGGGAGGCATGTTGACAGCTGTCCTTCTGTAGGACTCTCAGCCCCCTGCTTACTCCTTGTGGTGAACAATTTTATGTCAACCTGACACAGGCTAGAGTCATCTGAGAGGAGGGAGCCTCGGTTAAGAAAATGCCTCCATAAGATCAGGCTATTGGCAAACTTGTAGAGCGTTTTCTTAATTAGTGACTGATAGGGGAGAGCCCAGCCCACTGTGGGTGGTGCCATCCCTGGGCTGGTGGTCCTGGGTTCTATAAGAGAGCAGGCTGAGCAAGCCATGAGGAGCAAGCCAGTAAGCAGCACCTCTCCATGGCCTCTGCATCAGCTCCTGCCTCCGGGTTCCTGCCCCATTTGAGTTCCTGTCCTGACTTCCTTCAGTGATGAACAGTGATGTGGAAGCATAAGCCAAATAAACCTTTCCTCCCCAACTTGCTTTTGGTCATGGTGCTTTATCACAGCAATAGTAACCCTAACAAGGACACTCATCTTGCTGATGTTGGATTCCTAGTACACTTCTCCACTAGTCTCATGGAACAACCCCAAGAAAGACCCAGCTATGATGAAAAGCTAGGGTCATAGGTCTGCCTGCATGTGTGACCTTCTGCCCTAGCTGCTGGGAAGGGAGGTGCTAACCACTGTCCTGACACTTGTCTCCAACAGAGCTGTGGGGTCGACTTTGAGGTCAAAGCATTTGCCACAGACATCACAGATGGTGAAGAGGACAAGATCCCCAAGAAGTAAGAGTCCTCTTGTGGGACTGGGGAGGGTCTGGGTGGTATAGAGGTAAGGACAAGAAACAGCCCCACCTTATCCTGGTGTGGCAGAACTCTCCCCACAGGTTTCCTGTAGCTGGCTTCATGGAGCCCCCTGATCAGGGCAGATAAAAACTGAGCCATCATCCATTTATAAGTGGGTTGGGGGCAATAACTAATAATATGGGGTGGGGGATAAAAGAGAATGACAGTGAACTTGGCAACCTCAGGGACCCACGGGCCCCAAAACCTTCTGGGTCATTTCTTTCGTTTTCTTTCTTTTAATTTATTTATTTTCTCTTTTTAGTTTTTCTTTTCTTTTCTTTTCAAATGGTATCATACTGTAGCCAAGACTGGCCTGGAACTCATGAGGGTGGTCTTTCTGCCTCAGTTTCCCAAGCACTGGAATGCCAGGCTTAAGATACCATGTCTATTTTTTCTTTCTTGGAACTTTTTTTTTTTTTTTGGTGTTTTTTCGAGACAGGGTTTCTCAGTGTAGTGTTGGTGCCTGTCCTGGATCTCTCTCTGTAGACCAGGCTGGCCTCCAACTTACAGAGATCCTCCTGGCTCTACCTCCCAAGTGCTGGGATTAAAGGTGTGAGCCACCACCACCTGGCTCTTAGTTTTTTAAACTTATGATAATCTACACACACTATGAAGTTTATGATTCTAACCACTTTAAATGTATAACTCTGTAACACCAAGTATATTCACGTTTTGCCATCATCAGATCAAAGCTTTTGTATCATTCCAAACAGAATCTCTGTCACCAATAAACAGTCCTCCTACCAACCAGGTGCTTGATTTTCTTTTTAAATTTTTTTTTGATAATTTCATACATATATGAAGTAAAATATGATGATACACACCTCCACTTCCCTTCCTCCCCTCTACTTCTCCCGTATACTCCCAGCCCTCCCCCCAACTTTATGTCTCCTTTTTATTTGATAACTCACTTTCACTCCTAAGTCTCCACCTAGCCCATCTCTTCCAATATTTTCCTCATACTCAGCACCCATATCTCACAGTGCTGTGTGTTTCGATGTAGATCTGACCCATCATATTGTACGTACTAGGCAAGCACTCTACTCCCAAGCTCTGTGATTTTGATGCTTGTGATAGTGACAATGTGTCACAGTTACATGGCGCTCTAAAGCCTGGTCACATAAGTCATCTGAAACCATTGATACAGGCTCTCCTGAGAGAAGGCTAAGCTGAGTCTGGCAGGCTGAAAGGGATCCTTGAGGGCATTGCTGGTTCAGCATTCAGCTTCTGGGATCATGGAAGAGGGCCCTGGGAGGCTACTTTGAAGCCTGGGGGATGGGTGAGGGTGGGTACCAACCAGGACCCCTGGACCTTTTCTCCTCAGGAGCTCTGTGCGGTTACTGATCCGGAAAGTGCAGCATGCCCCTCCTGAGATGGGTCCCCAGCCCTGTGCTGAGGCAGCCTGGCAGTTCTTCATGTCTGACAAGCCCCTGCATCTCTCAGTCTCCCTCAGCAAAGAGGTAATCCACATCCCTATGGGGATTCAGGTCGGGGGTACAGACCACAGCCCCCTCACTGTGTGGACGCATCACAAGTCACCTTGTTCCTGCCGTGGTGGAATCATAGATGTTTGCAAATTGCCAGCTTATTTCCATTGATCTGGAGCTGGTCACCATGAGCCACCATGGCTTACCATTGCACTTGTTGGCTATCGCAATAGACTGGGGGCTGTGGAGATTAGAAGCAGACATCCTCTCCCATCCACCTTGGCCGTTTTCCACCCCGTCTCTAAAGCAGCACTGCTCACTGTATGACTTCAAATTGCTCACTTCCTTGGAAAATTCAGATTTCATAGAAAACTCACACGGCAGCCATATCGAGAATGATGTCATCGATGAGGATAGTCATGGTAGTAGAAGGTGAAGAGCAGCTGGCTAAGGCTCTTATGATGGTCCAGAGTCAGTGATACACAGGTTAGCCAGAGCCTCATGTAGTGTGTATACATGTGTGGGTGTGCCCACCCAGGGCTGGATAGCACAGGGTGTTGCTAGGTAAGGCTCCATCAGCCAGCTTTCCTAGTGCCTTCTTTTCATTTCACACATCCCATCTCCAAACAATGAAGTCAGGGCAGAGACTTAAAAGAGCTGGTTGTATCACATCCACAGTCAGGAACAGAGAAAAATGAACGAATGCATGCTCACTGGCTTGCTTACATTCAACTTGATTCCTCCACTCTTAATACAGTTCAGGACCTCCTGCCTAGAGAATGGTGCTGCCCACAGTGGGGCTGGCTCTGCCCACATTAATTAACAGTGAAGATAGCTCCCCACAGACATGCCCACAGACCAACGTGATGTAGACAATCCTTCATCAAGACTCTTCCCAGGTGATGTTAGGTTGTGTCAAGTTGACAATTAAAGCTAAACCATCACACCCCTCAACCCCCTTGGCCTTCTGCAGATGCGGCTGAACATGTTCATACCCTTCTCTAGAAGAAATGTCGCTATCATTTTAGTTTCTCTAGTACTGGGGTTATTTATTGGAAAGAGATTAAGAAAATCTTGGTCTCGAGAGTCCTCAGATCAAAGATTGTACCCCCACTGCACTCCATTCTTCTCTTCTGATGTCTCTCTCACTTTTCAGATATATTTCCATGGGGAGCCCATCCCTGTGACTGTGACAGTGACCAATAACACAGAGAAGACTGTGAAGAAGATTAAAGTGTTAGGTAGGACCTTCTAGAACTCAACCTCATGCTATTTCCTAGGGGCCACTCTGATCTGATAAGCCTCCACCTCACCTGTGTCCTTGCGTCTGCCTGTGGTTGCTGTTACCATTGACAGTAGGTCCTTAAAGAGGGAAGGACCTTAAAGGTCATCGCATTCAGGCTGTGGATATATCTCAGTTGGTAGAGCATGCAGGAAACCCTAGGTTCAATCCCAGCACCACATAAAGCAGGTGGTGCATGCCTAAAATTTCAGCACTTAGGAGGTAGAGACAGGAAGATCAGAAGTTCAAGTTGTCCTTGGTTATATGTCTATATTGAAGCCAGCCTGGGCAACATACCTAGATATGTCTATGTTGAGCCCCTACCTCAAAACAAGTCATTGTATTCACCATCATGGTCTCTTAGGTTGCCTTTTGTCTTGGTGCTTTGTCTCCTACAGATGCCCTTCCCATCTTCCCATGATCATGCCATCCCAGAGACACCCCTCTGAGCCAGGTCTCACTTGGGAAGTCCAGGGAGAAGTGTCTCTCTCTCTCTCTTTTTTTTGTTTGTTTGTTTAATTATTTATTTTATGTGTATGGGTGTTTTGCCTGTGTGTGTCCATACCATATGCATGCCGTGCCTGTGGAGGCCAGAGAGGGCATCAGATCCCCTGGAACAGGTGGTTGTTAGCTGCCCTGTAGGTTTGGGGACTTGAACCTGGATGCTCTGGAAGAGCAGCCAGTACTCTTAACCACTGAGCCATTTCTCCAGCCCCATTTCCCTTTTTGGGCAAGTGAGAGTTTCTATTGATAAATACAGCAAGTGTATTGAAAACATGGGGCTTAATCTGTGGGCTCCTGGTATCCCACCCTTGAATCCCAGTTGGTACCCACAGTAGTGGCTCCTTGCCCTTCTTCCCAAGCCTATAGGCACTAAGTAGAGCTCCCACATAGGAGTGCTTCATGAATAGTGAAGTGAGATGTCTCACCTTGAATCATCATCTAGTGAGGATCAACCCTGTTGTATACTACAGTAGAGTGCCCCCCACCCCACATTTACTGCTCCTATATATTATTTCCTCAACTCAAAGCCCATCCAAGTGCAGGTCTTAGAGTATCGTGGCACATACCTATCATCCCAGCACCCGGGAGACTTAGGCAGGAGGATTATGAGTTTGAGGCCAGTCTGGGTAACATACCTATATTTTGTCTCAAAACATTAAAAGTATAGATCAACAACAAAATATGTATGTAGGTCTTTGTGGGCAAAACAAACAAACAAACAAAAACCACAATGGATTGACCTGGGAGAGTAAATTCAGACTTCAACTTCCAACTAAGGTAGATTTACAATGTCAGAGTAATTAGCCATCCCAGGTTACCCAGGACAAAGGATATGGGCATTTCAATGTTAAAATAGGCATTGTAGCTGGGCTCAGCTAGCAAGAGGATCAGGAGTTCAAGGCCAGCCACAGTTTCATGTAGAGGCCAGTCTACATTATGTGAAATTCCACTTTTAAAAAAGCTAGTGATATCGCTCAGTTTGTAGCATGCTTGCTGGGTATAGGCAAGGTCCTTCAGTATGTGTAATCTTCAGTGTGCACATGCGCACTCTCGCATGCGAGTGTGCGTGCACACACACACACACACACACACACACACACACACGCACGTAAATAGGGTTTGTTTTATGCAAACCATGGGTGGTTGTGCAGTCCAGTTATCTGCTGTGGTTTCAATGTGTCCACTGAAAGCTTATGTGTTTGGAACTTAATCCTCACATTCATACGTTAATGATATTTGCAGGTAAGACTTTGGGAAGTAGCTAGGGTCAAATGAGGTTATGAGGAAGGACCTGTAATGACATTAGTGGCTTTGTAAGAAGTAAAGAGGCTTAAATTAGCACACCTGCCCTGCCCCCACCATTTGAGGTCCCCTGCTATTATGATCAAACAGGAAGGCCCTTATCAGATGCCAGTACCACTTGGGAGACCCAGGTTCCAGAGCCAGGGGCTAATTAAACCTCCATTCTTTATAAGTGGTATTGTCTATGGTATTCAGCTATAGCAACAGATAGTGGGCTAACATGTTCCTCTTTCCCTATATGTCCATCCCTACATGTCCATAATAAGATGAAGTTCAGTTTGTGTGCGTGCATATTAGAGATTCTATATTTTTTCTTATTGCTAATATGAATATTAATTTATCCTTGTTTTATGTCAGTGTAGTTCTCTGTAGGACTGAGTTATTCAGCATATTGTATGTAGTGTCATACCTTGGTCTATGTGGTAGAGTCTATCTGTCCATTCAGGCTGCTGTAGCAAAAATACCATAAATTAGGTGGCTCTCACACACATTGAGATGTGGTCCTCAAACTTGTGATCCTCCTGCCCCTGCCTCCCTAGTACTGGTATTTGCAGGTGTGTGCCACTATATTCAGCTAATAACAAATAGTTATTTCTGGCAGTTCTGGAGGCTGGGAAGTTCAAGATCAAGATGCTGGTAGATTGGTGTGATGAGGCCCTCATATTCCAGCAAGTTCCTGGAACCTCCTTTATAAGACCATTCATCCTGTTCATGAGTGTGTCCATTCCCATGACCACATCACTTCCCCAAAGAGTCCTCCTCATAATAATAATGAATGAATGCCTCCTTGGGCTAGTGAGATGAGCTGGTAAAAGTGCTTGTTTCCCAGCCTGGTGATGTGAGTTTGATCTCTGGAACCCACATGGTGAAAGGAGAGAACTGACTCTCCTACAGGTTGTCCTCTGACCCCCAGACAAGTGCCTTGACATGTACATGGCTCTCTTCAATTATGCAAATTTAAGAAATAATGTCACCTTGCAGTTATAATTCCAACTTTGAAAGAGTAGAAGCAAACTTTGAGAAACAGCAGCAAAAACTGATAAAGTATCATCAAATACTGGTATTTAAAATTATGTCTCAGCCAGGCCTTGCACTCGGGAGCCTGGGGCAGTATTGTGAGCTTTAGGCCTGCCTTCGGTACACAGTAAAACCTGTTTCAAAATAAAAATAGCTCTCAAGATTTATTGAATACTAGCAGCAAAACTAATGACCTTAAAAGAAGCTGTTGAATTTTCTGAAACAAAATGTTAACAGCTTTCTATAAGTTGGACACATGATGGGTGCCTTAAATTGTTTCTTTCAGCAGCGTGGTGATGCTACACGCCTTTAATCCCAGCACTCAGGAGTTCAAGGCCAGCCTGGTCTACAGAGTGAGTTCCAGGACAGTCAGAGCTACACAGTGAAACCCTGTCTTGAAAAACCAAAACAACAATGTTTTTAATTAATTTTTAAAATATTTAATTATTTTATGTGTATGAGTAACCTGTCTTCAGGCACACCAGAAGAGGGAATCAGATCCCATAACAGATGATTGTGAGCCACCATGTGGTTACTGGGAACTGACCTCAGGACCTCTGGAAGAGCAGCCAATGCTCTTAACTGCTGAGCCATTTCTCCAGCCTGATTTTGTTTTTCTTGCTGCAATGGAGTCTCGGATGTTCAGGTTGCAGCTGAGGCTGTCCCTGAACTCCTGATCCTCTGCCTTGCCCTTCCGAGTCTTGTGGGCATCAGCCACCAGTCTCAGCTTCATTGTTATTGTGTTGTTTTCTGAGGCGGGGCCTTTCTTGTCTATCTTGCTGGGTGGACGAGGCTATCCTCAAGCTTGCAGAGTCCCTCTTGTCTCTCTCTTCTGAGTGCCAGGATTTACAGGTGTGTACCATCATGTGTGTGCATGCATATACATGCATGTAGAGACCAGAGAACAATCTCCAGTCTGGTTACTCAGGTATCACTCCTCCACACATACACTTTTTTTGGGACAAGATTTCTTACTGGCCTGGAGCTCACCAAGGAGGCTAGGCTAGCTGGTCAGCAAGCTCTGCTCTAGGGATTCATTCCCCTGTGTCTGCTTCCCAAGTGCAGGGATATGTGTCTACCTGAGAATTAGTGTAGGCCTTTGTGCTTTCAAGGCCCAAAGCCATCTCCCCAGCCCATCTTTGTTTTACATTTATTGTCTGTGTGTGTATGGTGTGTGTGTGTGTGTGTGTGTGTGTGTGTGTGTGTGTGTGTGTGTGTGCATATGCCACAGAATATGTGTGGAGATCAGAGGACAGCCTGTGTGAGTCAGTTCTCTCCTTCCATTGTATGGGTTCCAGGAATTGAACTCATGACATCAGGCTTAGTGACATCTCCCTAGTGCCAGCCTTTCTTTTATTCTTCAGACCTGTACTACGAAATCGTCATCCTCATTTTCCTGGTGGGGGAATTGAGGTTTAGAGGAACTAAAGAATTTCCCCCATGGAGATTTGAGCCTAAGTAGTCAGGATGCAGAGCCATCCTCTCTGTCCACCATATCACACAGTGGATGGTCATGTGTTGCTTCGGGCAGGTTTCCAGAAAGCTTAGGGACTGGGAAGACAGTACTCCTTCTGTAAGATGGAGGATGATGGAAAGGGGCTGGGTTTGTAGGCGAGTACATGGTGAGTTCTGAGATGCTGGAGACACCATGCCTTTGGATAAGGACACCCAGTATAGATCATGGGCTTGCAGGAGAGGGGGGAGCTCTTGGGAGCTGCATCTGAAAGCCTAGTGTTTTGGTGGGAATTAACTCAGAGCAAGTCACTGGTGTACAGCGATGGCCTGAAACCAGACCTTGAAAAGTTGCAGCCTTTAAACTGGGGGCTGAGAAAGCCAGAACTCGATCTGATGGTGTGTCTCCTGGAAGGTGTGAGGGCCCGCCCTGTTCACCTCCCTCCTGTCTTCCCTTTGCAGTGGAACAAGTAGCCAATGTGGTTCTTTACTCAAGTGATTATTACGTCAAGCCTGTGGCCGCAGAGGAGACACAGTAAGTCTCGGTTGGCTTCCCACTTCCTGGGCGGCCAGCCCACTTTGTCAACTTCCTCTTCTCAAGAGGAAACTAGAATGCCCCTCCAGGCCCCCGGCCTTTGCTTTCTTCCCCTTTTCTCACATCAAGGGCTACAAAGCAAGTCACCTTTGGGGCCCATCTCTTAGGCTGCAAGATAAGGCTTCATGAACAAGGGATCAAAGAGGAGATATCTAGAGAGAAATGTCACCATGGGAGCATCACAGACTCTGCCTATCCTTGGAATGTGTTGATAGGAATGGGGTGCTCTTTCTGTCCCCAGAAGATGATTAAATGAGCTATCAGCCCAGGGTAGGGCCGTCCTATATATATAGTAGAGTTGGGGTTTAATAAAGGTATTTTAGGAATTGAGGAGATAGCTCAGTAGTTAAGTGCATGTACTGCTCTTACAGAGGACCTAAGTTTGCTTGTTTGTCCCAGCACCCTTGTTATATGGCTCATAAATGCCTATAACTTCAGCTCCAGGAAATCTGATACCAATGGCCTCTGTGTGCACCTACACACACACACACACACACACACACACACACACATGCACACACACACATGCACAAGCACACCGCCTGACTTTGAGGTCAAGTTCTTAATCCACGGGCAGGGTAGAGAGGCTTGGATATGCTTCTCTGCTTTGTCTAACTAGCATGTTCTATACAGAAAACATTACCAGGGTGACAGGAAGGTTAGAGTGAAAGGGAGGGTTGGGTACTAAGGAAAGAAAACCTGAGGTCATATTAAAGAAAAACATCATATTATATATTTAGACCCACAGTAAGCTACTACTCAAAACAAAGACAGCCTTGCGTTTAAGTGTAGTATATAGTGTTAAGAAAGAGAAGAGCAGGGCTGGAGTGATGGCTCAGTGGTTAAGAGCACTGACTGCTCTTCCAGAGGACTCGGGTTCAATTCCCAGCACCCACATGGTGACTCACAACTGTCTGTAACTCTAGTAACAGGAGATCCCATCACACCCTCTTCTGGCCTCTGAGGGCACCACGAATGCAGTACACAGACATATATACAAGTAAAACACTCATACACATAAGATAATAATAAAATGAAGTCGAAAGAGAAAGAAAGAAAGAAAGAAAGAAAGAAAGAAAGAGAGAAAGAAAGAAAGAAAGAAAGAAAGAGAGAAAGAAAGACAAGAAAGAAAAGAACACCTCACAGCTGACTTCCTTATGCCAGGCTGGGTCTGTTCACATTTGGTTCAAGGAGTAGGGAGTCTTGGCCTTGGCTGCCTTTTGGCAGATACTCCACAGCTGTGGGGCTCATTGTCCTGATAAGAGTTTTTTTTCTGATATATATATTATATATATATATATATATATATCATATATACATGCATATATACACATCTCCCATTTCCTGTTTCTCATTCAAAACTTTGTGTGCTTTTTAGACCAAATGATCCTCAGGGAAGTGAAAACCATTCTGAGATTTCCCTGAGGGCAAAAGGAGTCTAGAAATGGGGTCAGATCACGTTAGCTTTTTCATTGTTGAGGCAAATACCTGAGAAAACAAACTCTCATTCATGGTTTCTGTCCGTCACAGCAGGTGGGCGTGGCAGGGAAGAACAGCTCAGGAAACAGCATGCCTGCACTAGTGGGGTGTCGCCCTTTTTTCTCTCCGACTACAGCCAGGCTTCCAGCCAATGAGATGGCGGCATTTGTATTCAGGGCAATCTTGCCCTCTGGGTTAATCTTCTCTGGAAATGTTCTCACAGACACATCCAGAGTTGTGCTTTTCAAATCTCCTAGGCACTTCTCAAGAAAATCCGTTAAGACTAATCCTCATACTGGTCTCAGCCACTCAGAAGACTGTAGCACCCAAGCCAGTCTTCCAGACACACCCAGCCCCTGGGACTCTGGTGGGCAGGCTTCCTCAAACCAGGTCAAACCTGACTTCAAAAATGCTGCTGCTAGCCGGGCGGTGGTGGCGCATGCCTTTAATCCCAGCACTCGGGAGGCAGAGCCAGGCGGATCTCTGTGAGTTCGAGGCCAGCCTGGGCTACCAAGTGAGTTCCAGGAGAGGCACAAAGCTACACAGAGAAACCCTGTCTCGAAAAACCAAAAAAAAAAAAAAAAAATGCTGCTGCTGACACGGTCTGGGATCCTAATTGCCCTAGGCACAGCTGTGGGCCTGGCATAGTCCTTCAGAAAGTTCCACTACAGTAAAGGCTATCATGCTAGCCCCCAGGGCCCCCTTCGTGACCATCAAGCTGGAGAGAGAGAGTCCACCATGACCCAGGTGAGAGGATGTGGCCACCCCTAGCTCAAACAAAACATTGCAAAGGGCTTTCTGTACTCACCCACCAGAGACAGGCGAAGCCAGAGCTGCTTTAGACTCCTCATGGGGAGCAAACAGGGAAGCCCTTCCCGTGGGATGTCTGGGAACTTATTCAGGAAGTGGTCCTGATGCTTCCAGCCGACATTTGCAGGCCACACCCTGCCTTCTGCCCTCAGCCCAGGTCTGGTGCCTAGTATGTGAACTGTAGAATGAATACTGCAGCCCAGAGGCCACTTTGGGGTCCCAGGAATGCTGTGTCCCCAACTGAGTCCCAGAACTGTCCCTTGGCCCAGGGTTCCTTATATCTATCAGACATAGGGAAAGCCACAGGCCTCTGAAGAAGCCCTAGTAAAGAAAGAGATGTGCTGCTTTGAATGAAAGCAGAGTGATCTGCCTGGATAATAGGCCCACCATTAGTCACACACTGACTGTCCTTCTATGGACAGTTTTTGGCTACAGTGGTCCTGTATGAGCTTTTTTCGTTTTCTTTTCTTTCTTTCTTTCTTTTTTTTGTTTGGTTTTTCAAGACAGGGTTTCTCTGTAGCTTTGGAGCCTGTCCTGGAAGCCGCTCTGTAGACCAGGCTGGCCTCGAACTCACAGAAATCTGCCTGTCTCTGCCTCCTGAGTGCTGGGATCAAAGGTGTGTGTCACCACCACCCAGCTGCTGCCTCTTCTTCTTCTTCTTCTTCTTCTTCTTCTTCTTCTTCTTCTTCTTCTTCTTCTTCTTCTTCTTCTTCTTCTTCTTCTCCTTCTTCTTCTTCTTCTGAGACAGGGTCTCTATCTATCCTGGAGCTTGCTATGTTGACCAGGCTGGCCTTGAATTCACAGAGATCCCCTTTACCTTGTAAGGAGGCTTTGACTCTGAAAATGCTCATGACAGATAGGATCTTGAGGTGTGGATGGTGGCCGTGACAGCCATCAACTCTCTGTGGTTCTTCCTCAAGAGAAAAAGTGCAGCCAAACAGCACTCTGACCAAGACGCTGGTGCTGGTGCCCCTGCTGGCGAACAACAGAGAGAGGAGAGGCATTGCACTGGATGGGAAGATCAAGCATGAGGACACAAACCTGGCCTCCAGCACCATGTGAGTCCTGTAGGCTCTGTCTGCGAACGGGCCACCAGTGCAGACTGGTACGGGGATGCCCATCAGCCTTACACCAACCACAGTGCCACCGCCTGCCCTCTGGGTGGCCATGGCCACATTCCTTGAGTTTTCCTGTCTGTAAAGTGGGAGTAATCACAGTTCCGATTTCACATGCCAGTGATGACTAATTAGGACAGTGTATGTAAAGTGTGGTGTCTGACACTCAGAGCATTCCGGAAGTGTCAGTTACATCCAAAAGAATTGTTAGCTCATGTGGTACCCTGAACACGTAAACTGAGTTACCGCATTTGGCTATTTTCATTCATTCATTTCCGTCTCGAAAGATTGGAAGACCTACTGGCTGCTGATAGGCACCAGATTTTCAGGAAAAGGAGAGCTGATTCTGTGTGCCTATTCTGTCTTGGAGAACCACTAGCTGGTTTTTTGGCAAAAGATCTAGGGGAAAAATCTCTGTGCTGAAGCTAGCTGCTAGTTGCCCTTCTGGGCTTGATTTGCTGGGAGACTGTAGGCTGCTAAATGCTGAAGGTGTGAGGCAGGAGCCAAGATCTAGGCTTGAGACCTTACTTCCCTCTCCCATAGGATGTGCTGGGGGCTCCCTTCTGGCCTTACCAGGCTGCCCTCAGAGGTGATGTCAGGAGAAAGAGGAAGTGTTCTGACTCATATGGACCTGTAGCTCACATTATGTGAGGCCAGTAGTGGGGCAATGAATATTTGCCAGAATGAAGGTGGAAATCAAGGGATTTTCTGAGGATAATTTGCCAACTGTCTCTGTAAGATTCTAAAGTCGTGCTCATGAAATTCCAGGGAAAGAAAATGATGCCCTAGATCAATTTAAGGGAGCAATCAGCTGATGCCAGTGGTACTTACTTCTACGAAGTCATTTTTACAACATATGGGGTGGTTTACAAACACTCACACCTCTCCACACCTTTGTGAAGAAGCTGTAACTGAGCTTACTTTTTATACATTGGGCAGTGAGCCCTCAGTAGAACCAGGATGAGAAACTTGTGGAGGGTTCCTGAATGAGTTAATTATTGAGCAAGTCCACTCTGCACTGGCGCTCCCACTCAGGAAAGTGATGGGGAGAACCCTGGCAGTCCCAGGCATACTCTGTTCCCTGTGTTTGGGCCTTCCATATGGCACAGGTTCACAAGCCAATCCCAGCAAGAGCATGGTCTCAGCTGTGCCTCCATCCTCCCATCAGATGGTGATGCTCTTTGGGGAGTGTTGTAGTCCTAGAGCACAGGATCCAGCAGAAGGCCTCTGGGGCTAGACACAATTCCCGGTGCCTGGCTCCAGATCCCAGGACTGCCAGCATAACTTCCCTCTGCCTCCTGCCTTCAGAGTTCTCCATTGAGATTTTTGTTGTGGTTCATAGTAGCTTATCTAGATTTCATGGTTATCTTTCGTCTCATAATTCCTGTTGTCAGACATCATGGAATACTTAAGTCTTTCATGTTGGGTCATAGGAGATAATAAACTCTGGCAAAATGCCCAGTGGGGAACTTGATTGAGAGTGGGAATTCCATACGTGATCACTGAGCCTGGAGTTACCCTTCACTCTGGTCACATCTCATGCTCCTTGTCATCCATTTAAGCTTTCCCTTGCTGTCGGTGCCATGCTGGCTGCTGGGCACACAGAGCTTTTGGGTACAGGAACAATTGTGATCCTGTGATCGAGTTACAGGAGAGTGTCCCTCTGCCTTTCTCATGAGCAGAACACAAGAGCGGGCAGGCAGTCCTACCTGGCTGTGTCCAGGAAGGCTTTATAGCTGGAGGTATTGGGGTGCAGGAGAAGGGCCTTCTGGGCAGGTTTGGAATTGGGAAGAGTGGTGCGTAGAGGCCTCAGGGCATAGCTGGGTAGGATGTGGCAAACGTACCTCACAGACTGCTTGCTGAAGCTGGAACCTGGATGGACTGAACTCAGGCTTCAGGGGAGGATTCGGCAGCTCTGAATGGTGGGCAGGGCATGGCAGGGAGAAGGAGGGTATAGGAGAATGAAATAGATCAGAAGCTGAGCCTTGAGAAGGAGGACAGATGCTGTGCCCAGTGTGAACAGGGAAAAATGCGGAAAACCCACTCCTTAGCCCCACAAGTGGAGAAAGACATGTGGCCAATCTATGGAATTCTCCAGTTCCAAGACAACAGCTTCAGAATTCTACTCTCATAATCCTTCTCCTTCTTTTTGATTGGGCAGTATCAAGGAGGGCATCGATCGGACTGTCATGGGCATCCTGGTGTCCTACCATATCAAGGTGAAGCTCACAGTGTCAGGGTAAGTGATGGGTGCTCCATCTCCATCTGGCCGGTTCCTCTCCTGAATGACTAGTAGGTAGATAGCAAAGGAAACCCGAAGTGCCTGCTGATGCCTACATAGAGTTTGGCGAGGTTCCATTTGCTGGTCTCTGCAGTTTTGTTGGAGGCGATGTGTACTGGAAAAGCAAACCCAAATACATGCACTGTCAGTACCGCTAAGCGGAAGTGGGTGTACATCTGCACACACAGTGGAAGCTGAAGGGCAGGAATGACAGTCGGATCCTTTTGCAAAAGTAAATTGCCTTGCTCAGTTAAAAAAAAAAAAGAATGACATCAGTTTAATTTTCAAATTTCAAAAAGACTTGCAGCTGCAAGTGAACTCTCTGTAAATCTTCCTTGTGTGGCATGAGTCACTTTGGGAGGCTGAGGCAGGATTAAGAGGCATGGTCAGCCTGTGATACATAGTGAGACTCTGATTTTGTTTTTGTTTTATAAATTGGGGCTGGACGTGCAGCCCAGTTGGCAGAGTGCTTGCCTGGCAGGCACAAAGCCTTGCCTTTGATCCGTACCACCCAATAAACTGGAAGTGGTATCCCGGGTCTGTAATTCAGCATTGCAAGATAGAGACACGAAGTTCAGAAGTTCAAGGTCATCCTTGGCTACACAGACATTTTAAGGCCAGCCTGGGGTACATGTGACTCTGTATTAAAAAACAAAACAAAAATCAAGTAGAGCATGTTGGTGTACACCTGTAATCCCGCCACTTGGGAAACAGAAGCAGGAGGATTGCTGCAAGTTCAAATACAGCAAGCAAGGACTACAAATAAATAAACAAATAAAATGTTTATTTAGATCTTAGACTTTTCTGTCCCTAAGGGGGTTCCTTCCTTCCATTCCCTAACATGTAATCACGTGATTAGGAGTTACCTTTTTATACAAAAGTACTGCTATGGAGAGTTCTAAAGAAATGACTTCCTTTTAAGGACTTTTTTATTTTTATTTTATGTGTATGGGTATTCTGCCTACATGTGTATAAATGCGCATGTGGTGGTGTACACCTCCAATCCCAGCACTTGGGAAGCAGAGGCGGGCAGATCTCTGTAAGTTCAAGGCCAGCCTGGTCTACATATCATGTTCCAGGCCATCCAGGAGTATAGAGAGAGACCCTCCTTGTCTCAAAAACAAAAACAAAACAAAAAAGAGTAACCAGTGCCCTTAACTATCTTTCAGCCTTAAGAGACAGTTCTTTATTTTTTTTGTGAAATCAGTATCCTTACTCTTATCAGAAGGGAAGGAATTGAGTTCTCATTTTCCTCTCAGATTCCGTTGGCAAAGGTGCTGGCCTTTTCCCTGACGGGGCCTGTGTTAGCTTGGTCATGCATGTCCCTGTTTCTAAGTAGGGAGAGAGTTCCTCAATTTTGCTTGGGTCCATTTTGGACATCTGGTCCATATCTTTGAATTCTGTCTCTTCCTTCAGTTTCAACAAATGACAGACTGAAAATACTTGGGAAAAAGTAGTTTCTAGTTCAAGGCCAGCCAGGGCTACATCGAGAATCCCTGTCTCAAAAACAAGCAACAACAAACAAAATGTTTCTGTATTGGACATCACGGCGTTTCACCTTGCTTATTCCTTAGACAATACAGTCTACTATCTCTTAGGCATCATAAGCAAAGTAGGGATGGTTCAGAGCCTAGGGAAGGATGTGTGATGGTCATTTTCAAATTTGATACCATCTTCTGAAGAGACTGGGAACACTCTCACAAGGAACCCTGAGACCAGTCCCCAACAGATGCCAGGGGACAGGGACTGCTGTAACAGTGCATCATAGTGTCCTCTGTGGCTGAGAGTTCTCTCTCTCTTCTTCTTAAGATTTTATTTTTATTTTTATTTTATTTTTGAGCTCACTATATAACCTAGAGTAAAGGTCTCACTTGCACTGCCCTCCCTATGCCCCTTGAGAGGACTGAGGTCTCAGGTGTGCTCTGCCACCATAGGGTGGCTGAGAACTTCTGGTTCTGTAGCTTAGGCTCGATTCTATCCTTAAAAATTTCTCCTTTGGAGAAAGAGGGGAAACCGTCTGCAGGATGCAGCTGAGAGTTGGGAGACCCTGGGATCCTGGGATCCAGGGAGTGAGAGCCACGCCTACCAGGCTGGGAGGGGCCTGTCCTGCCTGAACCCTGGGACTTACTGTGGCTGTTTGCTTTGTGTTTTCCAGCTTTCTAGGAGAGCTTACATCCAGGTAAGCCTCATTGCCTCCCTACTCCACTCAGCTCTGGGCAAACTGAGGAAAAGGAGCCTGAGGCTGAACAGAAACTGGTAAAAACTAGTTTCTGGGCAGCAGTGCTCAAAGATGCTGTAAATGATACATGCTGACTCTGATGTGTTTTAAGAGGTGTGGCCAGTAGCCAAGAGGCATGTGGGCAAGGGGACACACACACACACACACACACACACACACACACACACACACACACGGCCCTCAGATTACTAATATACTCCATCCAGCTGTCGTTTGTGTATGTAGGGTGGGTACAAGCCACATAGAGTAAGTTTTACCATTTTAACCATTTTTTTTTTCTTTTTTTCAAGACAGGGTTTCTCTGTGTAGCTTTGCGCCTTTCCTGGAACTCACTTGGTAGACCAGGCTGGCCTCGAACTCACAGAGATCCACCTGCCTCTGCCTCCCGAGTGCTGGGATTAAAGGCGTGCGCCACCACCGCCCGGCCATTTTAACCATTTTTAAACATATACAGTAGAATTAAGTACATTTACAATGTCATTCAACCATTACCACTACCTAGGGTTTTTTTTCAAACCATTTTTAACATCTGTAAAAGAAAGCTAGTGCTTGTTCAGCAATCACTCTTTTTCCCTTCCCACAGACCCTGGCAACCACTGGTTGCTTTCTGTCTCTATAGATTCCCTTTGCTGGGCCTGGGGAAGTGGCTCAGTTGGTAAGGCATTTGCCTAGCATGCATGAAGCCCTGGGTTCAGTTCCTAGCACTGCATAAAACTGGAATGATGTTACATACCTGTAATGAGAGCACAGAGAAGAAGTAGAGGATGGTTGTTCTCAGCTATATAGGGATTTCTAGGACAGCTTGGACTCCATGAGACCCTGTGTCAAAAAAAAATTCCATATGTGGCTTTTGTGATTGGCATCTTTTACTTATTATAATGTTTTAAAGACTTAATCATATTGTAGCATCTACCACAGTACATTCCTTTTTATGACTGGGTAATATTCCATTATGTGGATATACCACATTTTGTTTGTTCACCTGTTGGTGGCATTGACGTAAACTTGCATCTCAAAGAAAATGAGAAAGTGTTTACTCTGGATCTCAATATGAGTGATGCTGAACTGGGAACACAGATTGGGGTCTCCAGATATCATATTCTAAGATGGTGACAGTTTTATGAAGTTTTTTTTTTTTAGTAGTAAAATTTATGATTTTAGATTTAGAAAATCATAAATCAAGGTTTTTTAAAAAATACATTGGTGGGAACATCAGTCGGGCAGGTTATAGTAAGGTGGGAAAATCTCTGCAATAAGCCTCAGGTGCCAGCCTGGTAGCATTCTTAGTTTTGGGGTTGGTAGAAGATAGGGGGGTCTATTTGTATATCCCTCAAAAGATTTCATCTTACAGTCACAGGATGCCAGGTCAAACACAAGGGTAGGCAATGAACGGCTATTAAGGGCTAAGGTGGACCAGGATAAATTTGTCTTTAGAGCTGCAATATTCTTACTCTCCATAGTCACGGAATTTTTAATCAATCATTCAGCCTCACAGAATTTTTAACAAAGATGTGGCTACCACCACCACCACCACCACCACCACCACCACCACCACCACCACCACCACCATCACCACCACCACCACCACCACCACCGGAAACTTTACTTCCCAGCAAACACTTGAATTGTTTCTACCTTTTGACAAAGGTGAATGGTGACACATGTCTTTTGAACCATGCACAAAGAACCAACAAGTTTGGAAATATCTGAGACAAGCATTCACTTGACATAGTTCTTTGTCTCAGCTCTTATCACCTGGGCTAAGAGGCTGATTGACTGATTAGCATCTCTGTGATGTGGAGAGTTGGAATGTTGCAGGCCTGGAGCTGAGTCATCTTGGGGCCATCTTTTGCCCTTAATAGCCATTTACTGCCCTCTCTGTGTTTGACTTGACATGTCGTCTAGCCCTGGTTTGCATCAGGGTCACTGTTAGCAGTTCAGTGCTGGTAGGCTACAGGAGTCCTGGGATGCACCTGGGTCGCTGTTAGCAGTTCAGTGCTGGTAGGCTACAGGAGTCCTGGGATGCATCAGGGTCACTGTTAGCAGTTCAGTGCTGGTAGGCTACAGGAGTCCTGGGATGCCTCTGTTTTCTCATCCCCTTTCTCTACTTCCATTCCTAATTTCTCTGGATTTCCCTTTGGTTCATCTTTCTGATACCTTTCCCATCTTCTCATATACATTCTAATGTCCCTCAAAGCATTTTGGTATGAGAGATATGATGGACCCTGCTCCTCTCTTTTGCAGGAGATGGGTGTGCCCACTCTTGTACCAGCCTCACAGAGATTTTTAAAAAATATTATTATGATTCTGAGGGGTTAAGGGATTTATTTTCAGCCTTGAGGAGAAGTATGAAAGAGTAATGTATACACTATGGCAGAGGTTGGGTTAATTGTCTGTTTTAATTTTTACCTCCCAGAAATGATGGGATGTCTTGAAGTATAGTCTTGCTTTCCAGACTTCTGTTCTGATAGCCATGCTTCTCCATAACACTCATACATATTATATAATTTAGATCTAGACCCCTAAAATTGCTCCAAGATCCTGTCATGTAAGTAAAGAGGCCATGCCATGTCGCCTCATGGGATGCACAGCAGAGGAGTGGGCATAAAAAGGAGGTGGCATGCGCTTTCATGAAGTTGATGAAAGGAACTTTTACTGTCTGACTTCCTGGTGGGATGTCAGTCTTCAGCAAAGGAGGCTGTGACCACTGGCCCCACAGCAGCATGTCACAGACAGTGGTTTCCAGAGGTGGTCACTGGGTCCACCTCCTCTGGACTGCTGTCCAGGCATGAGGAGGACTAGAACACTGAACTTCTAGTTGATTTCCGTGTACTACAGTAACTCTTTATTTATTATAATCGTTATTATTTTTTAGTGCATGTGAATGTTTTGCCTGCAAGTGTGTCTGTGTACCACTTGTGTGTCTGATATCCAGAGACCAGAAGAATGTGTTAGTTTCTATGGAACTGGAGTTACAGATGGTTGTGAGCCTCGTTGTGGCCTCTGGGAATCAAAGTCAGGTCCTCTGGAAGAACAGTCTGAACTACTGAGCCATCTCTCCAAACCCTCACATAAAAAATTAAAATGTATTCAAATGTGTCTTGCTGCAATCAATAGCTGTTTTTAAAGAAAAGATTTAAGTTTTTAAGGGGTGTGTACATGAGAGCATTTATTGGCGAAGTCCAGAAGTGGGTGTTGAATCGATCCCCTGGGCCTGGAATTACAGGCGGTCGTGAGCTGCCTGATGTAGGTGCTGAGAACTAAACCCAGATCCTCTGGAAGAGCAGCAGGTGCTCTGACCACTGAGCCACCTCTTCAGCCCTATGAATGTTTTTTTTTAATAACCAACCTTCCTTTAGGGTTTCACCTTGTCTCTTCCCACAGTGTCACATCTCTACAGCCAGGATACAGGGAACTAAAAACACTAGCTGCCTCAGCCACGCCTGAGTGAAGTTCCTAGACCACATTCCAGGGAATACATTTCAAATTCCTGCCTGACCACTTCCTGAAGTCTGTTTTGTTTTGAATCTCACTGAATGAATCTTCTGGAGAATCTCAGAGGCCCCAGTTTTGTGTTGTGTGATCTGTAACTCTCTCTGTGTGTGTGTGTGTGTGTGTGTGTGTGTGTGTGTGAGATCTGTAACTGTGTGTGTATCTGCCTGTGTGTACACTCACCAGCCTGTATTCTTCCTTTTTTCTAGTGAAGTGGCCACTGAGGTGCCATTTCGTCTCATGCACCCACAGCCCGAGGACACAGGTCAGTCATTCCCATGGTCCAGGATGCACCCCACCCATTAACCAAAGGCAAAATTATTGCCCATCAGTGTATCTCTGGTCTTCCTTGACTATCCCTCTGAGCATGGGTGTCATCCACAGGGTGACCAGATCAGCCTGGAAGGGAGAGCTAGCTCACCCACTGAGCCCTGGGCCTGTCCACCCCTGTCTACATGTGGAGGGTGTAACATTCCTACTCTCTGTTGAGTATGGCTGGCCTCGATTTTAGCAGGGACAGTGTCACTGCGGAAGCTCTGCTGTCCATAGACCTTGATTTAGATTTAGAGACAAACCCTCTGAGGAGCCCGAGGAACTGCTTTATGTACAACGAAAGGCCTCTCGTTTGGAAGTGTCAACAACATCTAGAAGGTGATACATATTTTTGAAAGTAGTAATAGTGATGAGATTACAGAAAATGGTAGAAAAGGTCAGCCTGGGTTTCCACCGTCTCCGTTCATGATGATCCATCCACTCACTCTTGTGTGGATATAAAATGGAGCAATTGTTGCACACATCTGTGAGCACACTGCAACACTCCCACTGTTCCTGCAAAGATGTGAATGGGATGGCGTATGAGCTAGGAGGTTCTCAGAAGAAAAGTGAAATGGAGGTAGGTGTGCTAGGGTATGCCTGTAATCCCAGTGCTCAGGAGGCTGAGGCAGGAGGATGGCAAGTTTGAGGCCAGCCTAGACAGTAAATAGCAAGACTGCCAAAAAATAATGTCTCAAAGTATCTTTGCCAAATATTGTAGACCCAAACCCTGACTTTGCCAAGAGCTTCCCTTTGGGAGAAAATGCAGTCTAGTCATACATTTTTGTTCATTTATGTTTGTCTTATTAAAATGCAATTTTAAACATTTATTTGAGACTAATCAGGATGGCAATCCAGGAAAATACAGATTCAAGCAGTCTTGAAAATGTGCTCCTCAATACTTTTTCCCTCCCTCCCTCCCTCCCTCCCTCCCTCCCTCCCTCCCTCCCTCCCTCCCCCTCTCCCTCCCTCCCTCCCTCCTTCTTTCCTTCCTTCCTTCCTTCCTTCCTTCCTTCCTTCCTTCCTTCTTTCCTTCCTTCCTTCCTTCCTTCCTTCCTTCCTTCCTCCCTCCCTTCCTTTTCTCTTTCTTCCTTTTTCTCTTTCTTTTTTCCCCCTAGAGATGAATTCAACATCTCACACATGTTAGGCAGGTGTTCTAATACTGAGCCTCATCCCCAGCCACCAAGAAAACTTTTTTTTAATGGTGTAAGATTCAGATATCCTGGTTCTCTTCAAAGACATTGAAAACAGTCTCCTGAAACCACACTTATGTTGGGTAGTTTTCTGGAATGAACTTTCTTTCTTGTTTTGTTTTTTTGAGACAGGGTTTCTCTGTATTAGCTCTGGCTGTCCTGCAGCTCACTCTGTAGACCAGGCTGGCCTGGAACTCACAGAGATCCTTCTGCCTCTGCCTCCTGAGTGCTGGGATTAAAAGTGTGCACCGTTACCACCTGGCTGTTTTTTGGAACTTTCAATACAGGTGACTTACTTTGGAAGAAGTGGAGTTATTCTCCCTTCACTTAGAGTATTTTCACAGTCTGGTCATTACAGACCCTACATTAGACAACTTGTAATTTTAAGATGAAACAGTGATCTTTTGTGCTTAAGATTTCAGAGAGTTGGGGCCAGAGAAATGGCTCAAAACCCTGATGTCAGGGTTGCTATCCTTGTGGTCTACCCCTTCAGGCTCAAGGTTCCTTTACTCAACAGAATAAAATTCTTGGGTGTCTCTTTCCAGTGGAAGTTTTATTTTATCTTAAAATTTCATTGGAATGAGGGTTGAATCTAAGGCCTAGAAGGCCCTGGCAAGTGCTCTACCAGCCTTCATTTTGTTATTTTGAGATAGAATCATGGTGGCACAGGCTTGTCATTTCAGCCACCAGGGGGTTGAGCAGGAACTTTGTGAGTTCAAAGTTAGCCTAGCAACTAGTGAGAACCTATCTCAAAAAAAGAGAAGAAGAAGTTGAAAAAGGTCTGAGAGGCTGGAAGTTCAAGGTCATCCTCAGGCTATAATGAGTTTAAGGTTAACCTGGGATACACAAAACCTCATTAAAAAATAATTAATTGATCTCTCTCTCTCTCTCTATCTCCCTTTTTGCCCACTCCCTTCATTCTGGGCCTACAGCAAAGGAAAGGTGAGCCATTTGAATGCTGCTCTGAGTTTTCCCGTGTTGTGTGACTCCTTTCCCCATAGACTCCTCTCAGAATGTCTGTTCAGAGTCCCTGTGTCCTGCTGCTTGTAAGAACTTGAGATGACATATACATATATATACATACACATACATATACACACATATACATATACACATATATAACATAGTTATGCCAGATGTGTCTTTTGTTCTGTAGCTTTTTACACTGTTCTTCTTACTTTTGTTTGTACAGTCTTAGCTAGGAGTGATGGCTTACCTTTAATCCAGGTACCTGGGAGGCTGAGGCAGGAGAATCACTTCAAGTTCAAGGCCAGGCTGGTCTATAGAGTGAGACTCTGTCACAAAAACAAAAGAAAACAAAAGCCCTAAAAATCCCTGAAGATGCCAGGCAGTGGTGGCGCACGCCTTTAATCCCAGCACTCAGGAGGCAGAGGCAGGTGGATCTCTGTGAATTTGAGGCTAGCCTGGTCTACAGAGTGAGTTCCAGGACAGGCTCCAAAGCTACACAGAAAAACCCTGTCTTGAAAAACCAAAAAAAAAAAAAAAAAAAAAAAAAAAAAAAAAAAAAATCCCTGAAGAAAAAGGCATGGTCCCTGTTCATCCTGGTGATGACATGGTCCCTGTTCATCCTGGTGATGACATGGTCCCTGTTCATCCTGGTGATGACATGGTCCTGTTCATCCTGGGATGACATGGTCCTGTTCATCCTGGTGATGACATGGTCCCTGTTCATCCTGGTGATGACATGGTCCTGTTCATCCTGGGATGACATGGTCCTGTTCATCCCTGGGATGACATGGTCCTGTTTATCCTGGGATGACATGGTCCCTGTTCATCCTGGTGATGACATGGTCCTGTTCATCCTGGTGATGACATGGTCCCTGTTCATCCTGGTGATGACATGGTCCTGTTCATCCTGGGATGACATGGTCCTGTTCATCCCTGGGATGACATGGTCCTGTTTATCCTGGGATGACATGGTCCCTGTTCATCCTGGTGATGACATGGTCCTGTTCATCCTGGGATGACATGGTCCTGTTCATCCCGGGATGACATGATCCCTGTTCATCCCAGGAATGATATGGTCCTGTTCATCCTGGTGATGACATGGTCCTGTTCATCCTGGGATGGCATGGTCCTGTTCATCCTGGGATGGCATGGTCCTGTTCATCCTGGGATGACATGGTCCTGTTCCATCTTGGGGAATGGTATGGCCCTGTTCATCCTGGGGAAAAACATTCATCTTGGATTGGTTCCTTTACTGCAGAAAGACCAGTGGTTTTGTTTCATTCAGGATTTCATCTTCAGCTTCAGAGTAAGCACTGACTAACCTGTTGTCTTTTTTCTTCTAGTGTTCAGGATGAAAATTTGGTTTTTGAGGAGTTTGCTCGCCAAAATCTGAAAGATGGGGGAGAGAACACGGAAGTGAAGAAAGATGAGGAGGCAGTCCCGGATGAGTGAAGAGTTAGCCTAGTTACCTAGAAGTGGCTTGTAGTCCTGGGTGCCTTGAGCGAAGCCCCAGGAACCTTTCAGAGTTATGCTAGATGGATATGAAAGCCCAAGTGTTCCTCCCGGAAATAAAGTCTGTGGACTCTCTGATAACAAGTCAGGCTGGTTGGCTGGGCACTGGGCTGTTGTCACTGACAGAGACTGACACCTTTAGGGTCCCTGGAGCTCGGGAGTGAGGGGCACCATCTAGAGGAAAAGGCGGCCTTTCACAAAGTAGCTCAGTGCCACTGGGTTCTTCCACTGGGGCCTGGGTGTATCCAGGGCTTTCGGTCCTGTATCTCTGGACACACATGGAGTGGTAAACAAGTTTAGTTTTCTGACCATCCTAGACCCAGGCCCTCTTCAGAGGTTCCTGAGGTAACCGAGCAGAAAACAAATACAGACAGAAATACCCTTGCGATTCCACTTTGGGGTCCAGTCCCTGTTTGAGCTTTCGGTTGCTGGTCAAGTTTCTATCAGACACAATCAACCAAACCAGACTTGGTTAATAAAAGGGAGCAGAACAGAAAAGGAGGCCCCTGGAGTGTCCGGAAAGCTGAAATGAACCGAGGAAGAACCTGAGCTGTCATGCCCGGTGTTGGCAGAAGCTGTCAAGGTCCTGGGGACTCAGCTCAGAAGCTGGGACTGCCAGCCCCCAGGCCATTCCAGCACCTAGCCTCTGCTGTCTGGGGCAAGAGAGTCTGGCTGGCTCAGCTTTGGCTTGGTGGACCAACATCTCATGGGCAGCAGTGGTGGAGCCCAGGCCTGGGGAAAGGGGTTTATCAAGACCAATGGACCTCATGATCATATTGTTATTACAAAGAGGGAATGGAGAGTGCTGGTGTCAGAGATGGTGGAAGGAGCACAATAGGGGCTCTTCCATTGGGCGGTGGTGGCGCACGCCTTTAATCCCAGCACTCAGGAGGCAGAGCCAGGCGGATCTCTGTGAGTTCGAGGCCAGCCTGGACTACAGAGTAAGATCCAGTATAGGCACCAAAACTACACAGAGAAACCCTGTCTCAAAAAAAAACAAAAACAAAAAATCCCCAAAAACAAAAAAGTTGGGGGGGGGGGGCTCTTCCAAGCCCTTTCAACCAGAAGGCCATTCCTGGCTGCAGTACCCAGCAACCGGTATTATACCAAAAAATTCTCTTGGCAGCCATGAGGGCAGGCTGTGTGTGTTGGGGATGGTAGGAGATGGACGGATATGTGGCTCTTATCCATATTTAGGAAGTAGCTAAGGGGAGTCTGGAGATTTCTGTATAGTTCAGCCTATTCACTATTAGTAGTAGGGTGTGTGTGTGTGTGTGTGTGTGTGTAACTAATTACTTCTCTTATTGCTGTGACAAAATGCCTGAGAAATGTGACTTAAGGAAGGAAGGGTTTATCTTGGCTTACGGTGTCAGGAGATAGAGTCTACTGTGATTTGGGGAGCACGAGGAAGCTGCTCCTACTGCATCTGTGCTCAAAGAGAGATGAACGCTGGTTGGTGCTCAGCTTGCATTTTCCTTTTTTTCAGGGCAAATCCCCTCCCTTTGGTTAAACCTCATTAGAGATGCCTTCATAGAGACACCCAGAGGTGTTGCCTAGGTGATTCTAAAAGCCACTCACGTTGACAAAGAAGATTAACCTGCACAGTGTATACTCCTGGGATTGGTTTTCTGATGCCAAGAGCAGCCGTAGAGAGCTGAGGTTCTGTGTGCATGGAGGTGTCAACATCTGAATTTCAGGCTGGTGTGTGCTATGATGCCTGGGATTTGGATGTGGAGGCACAGTTGGCTGCACTCGGTACCACACAGACAAAGCAAGGTTTGGACCTGTGTGCTGACTGTGAGGTCCCCTGGTACTGGCAGAGATGAAGACTCATTTTTGAAGCTAAGAAAACAGTAATATAAGTAGAAACTTGTGGGTTATCGGGGCAGACACCAGTCTATCTTTTCTTCCTCCCAAGCTAGGGAACAGCTAGCTACCATTGCACACCGCTGTCATGGTGCTCAGCGAAGGGATGGCATGCTTTTGGGGGAGCCCACACTGTGCTTCCTCATGATCTTATCCCCCTGCCTTTTACCAGACACAGTTCTCAGTGGTTAGCTCCTGGTGGGTGGAGCTCTCTGCCAGTCAAGGAGGCTGGGACTCTGCCTAGCAGCTCCTGGTGAGAACCATCCTGTTGGTTCCTGCATTGCTTGACCCCAGGACATCCTAAATCAGAGTGGACATTAATAGGCCCGACCTTTGGAGCAGTGTGGGTGAGAGAGCCAGGAGGGAAGGCCGAAGCCCGAGCCCTGGGGACCAGAGGTCAGAACAGCCCTTGCCCTCCAAGCTATTTCGGTGCTAAAACATCCAAAACAGGCCTCCAGGTGCTGGTTTGTTTACACTGCAGCTGCAGAGGGAGGGGGGGGGGGGCAGGAAACCAGCAGCCAGCTGCCCCAGCAAGCCTGCTGTGTGTGTGTGTGTGTGTGTGTGTGTGTGTGTGTGTGTGTGTGTGTGTGTGTGTGTGGTACTGGCTCAGCTCAGTCTGCACATATCTATGTGTTCTCTGCTGGCATGAAGAACCCTCAGGAGACAGCAAGTTTGAGGGTAGGTTGAATGTGTGGCCCAGAATTTTAGGGACAGGTGCAATGCAAATAAATAATGAATGAATGAATAAATAAATAAACAAACAGTACAAAGAATTGAGAGTGTTGTACAGACAAAGGAGCATTTGGGACAAAGTTGGTGGAAGAACCTGATGACGAGAGTCTTTACCTGTTGTGCATCATCTGACCAGCCCCGAGATACACTGGTTTTGTGTGTGTGTGTGGTGTGTGTGAGAGAGAGAGAGAGAGAGAGAGAGAGAGAGAGAGAGAGAGAGAGAGAGAGAGAGAAAGAGAGAGAGTGCCTTCTCCCTTTCCATCAAAAGGTCCTGGAGATCCAAGTCATGTTGTCAGGCTTGACGACAAGTGCTCGCCTCACTGAGCTCTCTCCTCAGCCCAGTGGAAGAACCTGGGACAAAGTTCGGCATCCAGCAACCAGAGGGCTGGAGAGACATGGATTCCTGCCACGTACCGAGTGCCTGCCTGGTGCCAGGCACTTCACGTGATGGCCAGTTGCCCCAGCAGGTGGAACCACCACCTATTTGTTAGGGGAGAAACTCAGTTCAGCGAGATTAGACCGAAGACGCTGGCAGGCCAGCGAGGCGCGCAGAATGTTCGTGAATAAACAATGCCTGCCCTTTAGTTATCTGGAAATTTTACCGACCGACACAGTTGCCATTCACATGTGGTTGTCAGATATGATAGAGCCCTCATGGGGCTGCTGCTTCCCCCCGTGGTCTCATTGTGCAAAGCTATTGTAGTACAATCCTGCAGGCATGTGCTTACCTTGGTAGAGCCCCTTTTCTGGCTTGGATCTCCCCGATCTTCCCTCTTCTCCTGTGTTAATCTACTTCTGTTACATTTTTTTTTTTTCCGCATGCCAACTCCTTTGGGGGCTGTTGGTTTTCCTGCTCTTTTGACATGCTTTATTGCCTGCTTCCACATCCATTTCACAGACCAGATAGTGAACAGGTCCCAGGGGCGGGTGGGGCATGTAGGGGTGGAAGTCATGCACATTTAGAAGTTTGTGTGTGGTGGGGTGTTCTTGTGGTTGTCGAAAATGTTCTGGGACCCACAGAGTCTCTCTGTCACACTCAGTGAGAAGCTGTCCTGCTTCATGGAGAATGAGGGTCATCTCAAGCTTTCGGGTACAGACATTCTAGTCAGGCGGTTCTTTCTGACAAGATGGGTCCTCTTCCTTGCATGTCACAGAGACTGATGAGGTTCGATGTGAGGTGTGTTATTACTGCCACCTTGGTATGCCCTCCAGGTGGGGTAAACTCAGGGCGCAGCACATCATTAGACATGATTCATTGTGTGACTCACTCAGGGAAAGAGGCACCAGAGGGAATACGCTCTTCCTAGCCAGCCGCCTTGGGGGAGCTGATGGCTCAGCTTCCTGAGATCTCCAAGGGAACCACACTGTGCATTTACCAGGGAACAAAAGGGCTTCTTCACGTGTCAAAAAAAAAAAAAAAAAAAAAAAAAAAATCATGTCCAAGTTAGATTTCTCTGCCTTCAGAGCATAATGTAATTCTTTTCAAGCCTAATACCCTTCTCCTAAGTACATGTTTTATTTCAAATAGTTTTAGATTTACAGAAAAATGAGCACAGAAGGACCCACACTGTTTCCCTATTATTAATATCTTACATCAGTGCAATCCGGTGGCTGCCCCAAGTGAATTGGCATTGACACATTCTTATTAAACTAAACACATACTTTGTTCTTCAGATTTCCTTACCTAATGGCCCTTTCCTGTTCCAAGATCATGTCTGAGATCCATGGGACACACAGTCACACAGTCATCTTGTCTCCTTAGGCTCCTTGGCTGTGGCAGTGTCCAGGGCTTTTTCCTGATTGCAGCTCTCTCTCCATCCTCCTCTCCAGCCCCGATTTCTCCCTGCCGGCTGCTGCTGCTACCATGCTCTTCCCCATGCCTTTGGTTTCTAAAAATCACCAACTCTGGAGCCCAGATGTACCCTGAGCTTCTAGCAGGTGTGGTCAACACACCCAGCACCTCAAGCCAAACCCATTTCTTTCTTACGTTGTGGGGCTCTTGCTGCTGCTGCTGCCATGCCCAGAAAGCCCCTCACGGAAGGGCAGCCAGATTCCTACTCCCCTTTTGTGCTGTGAGCAGCTGGTCATCTTCCCTCTTCTGCTTTGTCTCCTGTCCATCATCCCTACCTCTAAGACAACCAGCCTGGAGCCGGCCTGGTCAGCATGGCGTTGTCACAGCCCTTTCTAATGCCTTCCCTGTCTCTAATCCCTTTCTAATCCACTGCACAAGTCTCTGTCTAGGTGCACAAGGGCTTTGTTTCCCTCCCCTCCTCCTCTTCTTTCTCCTTTTATTTGGGCTAGGGTCTTCAAACTTGAGATCCTCCTGCCTCAGCTTCCCGAGTGCTGGGATTGTAGCTATGACCTCATCTTAACATTGCTTCTTTTTTTTTTTTTTTTTTTAAAAAAATACTTTTTACATTTAAAAATTTTAGTGGTGTGACTAGGCGTGTGTGTACCACATATGTCAAGGTCAGAGGACAATTTGTTTTTTTTTTCTCACCACCATATGAGTTCTAGGGATTGGGCTTAAGTCCTCACTCTTCATAGTAAACACCTTTTCTTCCTAAGCCGCCTCACTGTCCCAATTACCTTTTTTTTTGAGGGGGGGGTTTCAAGACAGGGTTTCTCTGTGTAGTTTGGGTGCCTGTCCTGGATCTCCCTCTGTAGACCAGGCTGGCCTCGAACTCACAGAGATCCGCCTGGCTCTGCCTCCTGAGTGCTGGGATTAAAGGTGTGCGCCACCACCACCACCACCCCGCCACAATTACCTTTTAAAGACCCACTCTACAAATACTGTCACGTACAGTCTCATTCTTTGATGAGGTCAAGACTTCAGTACTGAATTATGGTGAACTTCCTTCTACCCCATACTCTGTCTTTCTGTCCATGCTCTACCTATGATATGAATGTCCCCCAGGTCTTGGCTTCCTGGGAGACCAACCCTGCAGCACCCAAACTCAGGAATCAGCTGGTCTGAGTTTACATCCTGCCTCCTTGACACACCTAGAGAATGATGCCTGAGACTTCCGTGTCAGGGTCTTTCTTTCCCATTGGTTCTGGAGGGTGTGGCTGAGGGCTATGTCTCATTCAGCATGTGCAGGTGATCTATAGTTCGGAGTTGTCACTATGAAGTGCAGTAGAACTTGCCTGTGATGGAGGTACACCCACTCTGATAGCTGTTAAAGCCACTGTGGCTACGGAGTGCTGCAAATGTGACGAGTGCCACTGAGGAACTGAAATTTGTTTTTTAGTTAATTGGAGTTTTTATTTATTTTTGGTTCTTTTTAAAAATGTCATTCCAGAGCTTAGGCTGGCCATGAACTCTCTAATGCTAGTTAATTGTGATTTACATATAAATATTTGCATGTAGTGGGTATAGCACAGGGTGGAGTGTCCTAGTTCACCCAGGGGTCTCAGATCTTTTCTACGACATTCCTGCATTGGGCCTGGTCTTCCTCTGTGCTGGCTGTGAGGTCAGTGTCCTGGCCTCATCTTTGTGCCAGACGGCATCCCGTGGCTCCTGGTGGTGTTTGACTTGTATTGCCTCTGGAAAGAGTTGCCCAGGGCAGTGAGGCCCAGAGCTTGCTGACTGGTGGTCAGGACAGAGGCCCCTGGTCTCTAGCAGCAGCCTTCTGAAATGGGGAGGGGATAGCTAGTCAGTCCCCTGCTGACTTGACCCTTCCAGCCAGGCACAGTAGAAGGGTAGCACATTCTCCTGGATGGCACTGAGTCCTTTTCCATCCATGTGCCCCAAACACCCCAAACTCAAGCGACTCCTTCTCCAACTGCATAGCCTTCCTCTTTTGCCCCAGTGTGGAGTTCATGCCGATCACTTCTGCCTTCCTTTAGTGCCCCATCATTCCCTTATGAATCTCAGTTCCCTTCTCTATCTCTCAGCCTCACCCAGTAATTCAGGTTGCCTACTTGCTCAATACGTCAAAGCCTGGATCATAGGTCCCAGCTTTGTGACCCAGCTAGCGCCAGCTTAACCCACCTCCACCCCTCATCCCCCACCCCGGAGCTACTTGCTGCCCTCAGGCCTCAGCAGAAAAGGCCAGTCCTTAATCTGGTCCTCATAGCCTCATTTGACCCCACAGCTCTCCAGTTTTTATCTTACGCCATTTCCCTCTCTCTAAGCCACAGCTTCTTTTCTTTCTCGCTGCTGGGCTTTTGCACAGAACTGGCCTCCGCCTAGAACACGGTTCCCAGGTTAGGGGCAAGTCCAGCTTACTTTCTCCATCTCTCCCTTACAGAGTTCTGTCTTCTCTCTCTCCCGGTGTACATGCACGCACGCATCCACTCTGCAAACTTTCACCAACATAGTCCAACGGCCTCCTAGAGGTCACTTACTCGGGTGTGAAAACAAGGAAAGGGTACTTAGAAACAAGAAACAGAAATTGTGTTCCAAGAAGAAAACGACACAAGACAGAAGAAGGAAAGAGATGGGTAGGGGCAGAAATAACCAGCGAGGGCCGGACAAGCCTGCGTCTGCGCCCACTGCCGACCAGGACGCGGTGGGGTGGGGCGGCCGGCCTCTAGGCCCCGCCCCGGCCCCGCCCCGGCCCCGCCCCCGGCGCTCGGCCCATCCCATCCCCGCCCCGCCCCGCCCCCCCGCGGCGCGCGCGCTGGCCGGGCAGCATGGCGGCGGCGGCGGGCGCCCCTCCGCCGGGTCCTCATCAGCCGCCTCCGCCGCCGCCGCCTGAGGAGTCGTCCGACAGCGAACCCGAGGCCGAGCCCGGCTCCCCACAGAAGCTTATCCGTAAGGTGTCCACGTCGGGCCAGATCCGGCAGAAGGTGAGCCCGCGGCGTCGGCCGGGCGCGCGCCCCTCACGCCGCGGTCCCTGCCGAGGCCCGTGGCCGTGTGCGAGCGGCCGCCCAGGCCCGGCCCGGCCGAGGTCCCGCGGTCGCTGCCGCCGGGCCGAGCGCGCCGCCGCCTAACGGGCCGCGGGGACCGGGCCGCGGGGACGGGGCCGCGGGGACTGGGCGCAGGTGGGCGCCGCCGCCGAGGAGACTGAGGCCCGGCGTGCTGCTGGGTCGTTGCGGGGACCACAGGCGCGCTCTCCCCGAGGCCCGGAGGTCTGTACGTTTGAGAACCGGGCGCTGCTTCCCGTACTCACCTGTGTTGGCCTCACCCTCCAGTGCCCACCCGGCTGCGGGGTCCTCACCCACCCCCAGGTCCCGAAAGGGAAGGGATGCGCGTGTAGTGGCCGCTTCTCCCTCCGTCCTCGGGAAAGCCGGGACTCCTCACCCGCTGGGCACAGAACTCTTCGTGGAGAACTCCAGCCGCCCGGGATGCAGTGCAGAGAGACGCATGCCTTTTTGTTTTCTTTCCCGAAGAATAAAGTTGCACCCTTTGCTTTCCCTTTCTTGTTCCTCGTGAAAACTGCGTATGGTTTCTTGCTGAGGTGAGCCCTCCTTGTTGGAAGGGCTTCCTCGGGCAGGTGGCTGGACAGGTGGCGGAGAGCAGGTTGCCACCGTCGGGCATCCCTGGCAGTTCCGGCTGGCACGGGCTTGCTCATCCTGCTGCAGTGCGCCTTTCCTCCGAGGCCAGTTAGTTACCCTTTACTGGAAGAGCCATTTCTTGCTTTATCTTCTGTCAGCCTCTGTTACTTGCGATTGGGGGTGGGGGATGCATTTAGGTGCTGCTGTGTTACACTGTTGTGAGGTACCTCAGTCATTCAGCACATGGGATTGAACACCTGTGCTATTCTAACAGCGCCAGTGATGATAGAGCGATCGCATGCAACGGTTCTTCAGTTTCTCTTGGGTTAGCTTTGAGCACTTCAGTTGGGTTAATTTATTTGGAGTTAATGGTTACTGGTATCTGTCATTGTGCTCTTATGGATTGGAAACTGAAGTGGAGCAGTTAAATGACTTGCCCAGGGTGGTAGAAGTAGTAAAACATGGGTCTGGGTTTGAACCTTGATGAGGATCTCACTGATGAGAGGCAGTTTCTCCATCTAGGGGTTACCTGTCAGGTAGGGAGAGGACCCCTGTACTCGTTATGTTATAACATAGTAAATGCTGTGGAAGATTTGAACGTGGCATCTGAAAGTTTAGGCACACCTGGAAATGGTCAGGTTGAGTGGAAGAGGCTGGAACGATCATTCAGGGCCAGGCTGCAAGAGAGCACCAGTGAAGGCCATTCGAAGCGAGGGAGTGACGATCAGATGTGCCCCAGGAACTAGTTTAGGAAGCCCTGGTACTGATAGGAATGCCCTTTCCTAGTGCTTGTCCTTAAGATAGGTACTAGTGTGAGGCGATCAGATCTTGTGACTGAAGGGAGTGATGAATGAAGGCTAAGATCATGGTGGAGAGGGATGGACTCCTCGGAGATTCAAGTGAGTCCAGACTTTTGTTGGTCAGGGGGTGTCTCCCTGCCTTTCCTCAGGATGAAAACAATAGCTGCTGTACCAGCTGTTCTGGTTGGCTGGGGGGAGTGGTGGTTATGGTGTTAAAAATACATTCCGAGGACATGCATTCAGAATACATTCACATCTGCTGTACAGATAGCTCAGGGCTGATTTTTCTTCTGGTTTGCTAGAGCTTGTCAGGATGTGGGAAATGTGAGGTTTACTGTGTGTACAATACCTCCCTTTTGTAGCAGAGAGGCCATTCACGAATTTTTTTTTTGGGGGGGTATATATGTGTGTGGTACATAGTGCGGATTTCCAAATGATGTGATCAGAACCCCCTCTTACTGTTTGATGAGAGGAGTTTAGTTCAGGGGAGCTGTGGCACAGGTGCTGGAGAACAGAGCATGGAAGCTGAAGGCAGTGATGCAACTCAGAGATGAAGCAACATACAGGAAGCCACTGCCACCAGAGTGCAGGGACAGAAGTCAAAGGAAGGAGACCACATCAGACTCCAGGGGCAGTGGGGCTCCTCCAGAAACTGGAATTGTGGAGTCCCACCTGGCACAGCTCTGGGAGGATAGAGCTGCAGCTGCACATATACAAAGCCCCTTCTGCCTGGACATCCTGCCTGTAAAGGTTACCTCCGCTGCAATTTGAAACACATCAGAAGAACCAGAGATGGATCTGAGGACCAACTGGCCGAGAATCGGAGCTGTATGTATGACAGGTTTTCAAAGATATTAGTCTACTGCAGCCTCTAGCCATCTTAATTTAGGGGAGAATTGGTAGTGGTCCTCAGATTTTAGTGTGCAGACACATCCCCTGGGGACACTGTTAACTTGAAGATGCTGGGTGAGGAGGACTGGGGCCTTGGAATGTGTATTTTTAGCACAATCCCAAAGTCATTGATACTGCTGTGCAGGAAGCATGCTTTGAGAAGCAAGACCCTAGGGTGGTCTTGTAGAGAAGGACGTCTTACCAATCTCCGTGTACATCTGTCTAAGGAGTTTGGAATGTTTTTCCTGTAATCCTCTTCTGAAAATTCGATGTGTGTAGATTTGGGGTGGCTATTTATGACATGTTTGATTGGTGTGCCCCCCCCCCCCATTTGAATTCTTTGCAGTTGAAACTGCCCCCAGAAAACACATGGCTTCATTTGTGCTTTCTGACCACAGTACACAGTAACAGCTCCAGGACTACATAGCTAGAGTGGAAAGAGAAAACAGGTAATGCACTGAGCAGTGAGCTCATCAGTACTTTGGAGCATATTTTGAAATTTGAGTAAAGAGCAGTGTAATTCTTTGAAGCTAGTATTTAAGACAGAATTTTGTTATAAGTTTTTAAAAAGTTAACTTTAAAAAAAATTTGAATATAGAAATGTTTGTATTTCATCTTCTTTTTTTTTCCTTCTTCTTTGAGCCAGGGTTTTTCTATATAGCTATGGCTGTCCTGGAACTCACTTTGTAGAGCAAGCTGTCCTCAAACTCAGATATTTGCCTTCCTCTGCCTCTGAGTGCTGGGATTAAAGGTGTGCGCCACACCCAAAAGAAATGTTTGTATTTCTGTTTTCAAATGTAAAGCTTTTTTTTTCTTTGTGAAATGAAAACTAGTAGAAATTAAGTAAAGGGTTCAAGTTTTATTTTTTATTTTACTGTTTGAAGGGACAGGGTCTCATGTAGTCCAGGCTAGTCTTGAACTGACTACATAGTTGAGGATGACCTTGAACTTCTGGTCCTTTTGTCCCACCTCATTGTCTACCACATGCCCGCCACTACTAGTTTTTGCAGTTCTGGAAATTGAATTCAGGGCCTCAATGCTAGATAAACTGTCTACCAACTGAGCTATATCCCCAGCTCTCAAGTTTAAAGGACTTAAAAAACTCGGGTTTATGAAACAACTTTGGCTGGGAAGGTGGGTAGAATGCTTACCTAGCATGTGTGAAGCCCTGCACCACATAAACAAGGTGTGATAGGGGCATGCCTGTAATCCTAGTCATTGGAGATGGGAGCAGGCGAATCAGTTTAGGGTCATCCTTGGAAACCAGCCTGGGGTACAGGGCCTTGCTTTAAAAAAGCGAGGTGGGGGTGGGGATGATAACTCACATGTCATTCAGTTTATTCATCTAAACAATATAGTTCAGTTGAGTATAATGGCACACATCTGTAATCCCAGGGGCCCTGGAGACTGAGGCAGGAGGGTCTGGAATAGCCTGGGCTATATAACAAGATCCTGTCTTAAGAAAACAAAGCAAAAACTGTATAGTTGGGTGGCTTTTAGTATATTCACAGTTGTGCAACCATCACCACAGCCAATTTTAGAACATTTTCATCACCCGTTTCCTCTCAGCTCCCCCAACCCTAGGCAGCTACTTATGTACTTTCTGTCTCTATGCTTACCCATGCTGATTATTTTCTAGAACTAGAGTCATTTAGTATGCTGTCTTTTGTGTTTTGTTTCTTTCATTCAACTATTTAATTTTTTTAAAAGTTAGCATGTACAGTGATGGGGCTTTATTAGAATACTCATACATATATATTATTATTGTACTTATATTCAGTATATTTTCAGGATTCTTCCAAGTTATAGCATGTATCAGTACTATATCTTCTGCTTTTTGGCCTTTCTAAAACACCCCTATGAACGTTTGTGTACATTTTTTGTGTAGACATGTCCTCATTTCTCTTGGGTATATACATAGAAGTAGAATTTTGGGGCTATATGGAAACACTGTTTAACCTTTTGAGGAACTGTTGGGATGCCTTATGAGTGGCTCCATTTTACATTTTCAACAGCATTGTGTAAGGAGGAGTCTCCAGGTCTCTGCATCCTTGCTCATACTTTTCTTTTTTATTATAGCCCTTCTAGTAGGTGTGAAGTGGTAAGATTTTTTTTTTCTCAAATTTTTTCTTTTTCTTGTGCTAGAGATGAAGCCAGGGCCTCATATGGGCTAGGCAAGTGCTGTACCATTGAGCTACACTTCTAGCCCCCATAAATGTTCATATCTTCCACAGCATTTACTACGTTATAATGTCACATGTACTAGTGTCATCTCCTCACTAGACCAGCAACCCCTAGATGGAAAAACCCTCCCATCAGTGGGATGTTCAAGGTTCAAACCGGGAAAACAGTAGCTGCTATACCAAGCTGTTCTGATTGGTCTCAGTAAGGTCTCCAGGTCTTGATATGTCAAGTGTTGTGCTAGGCACTTGCTGCCCTCTTAATAGACACTGCAGGACCCAGAATTCAGTTGAAATTTAAGTTCTGGGAGAAGCTGAATCCAAGGATTCTTTATGGAGCAAAACCATCCTCTAACAATGAACTGACCCCAAGTAATACGAGCCCAAGTAAACAGTATTTTGTAAAGAAAACATTCAGGGAGATTGTTTGTTTTATCTAAAGGAAAAATGACCTCAAGTGAAAGGTTAGAATTGTTAGAAGGGATGAAGAACAATATGCACACTATGCAGGGTGTTTGTGTGGAAAAGACCAGGTGGGTATTGACTGTGTATATTAACTCTTTCTTTGTGTTTAAAACACATATAGATTAAAAACAGTAACGTCATGAAAGAAAGATAAACAGTAAAACTTTTTAAAAAGTTATTTAATGTTAAACTAGTTTAGAATATGAGTCCTAATCTTTTAGTAGCTCTAAAATAACCATGGACCGTAAGTCCAGGACTGGGAAGTTGAGAGAGAGAGAGAGAGAGAGAGAGAGAGAGAGAGAGAGAGAGAGAGAGAGAGAGAGAGAAAAGAAGAAGAAGAAGAAGAAGGAGAGGAGAGGAGAGAAATAAAAAGGAAAGGAAAGGACATGACCACTTCTAGGTATGATAGAGGAGAAAGTTTATTGTAGATAAAAGGGAGAGTGTAGGGAGAGACAGGGACATATGGGAGAGTCCAAAGTGGACATGACCAGACTGAACTGGGCCAGTGGGGAGAGGGAGAGGGGAAGGAAGAGGAGAAAGAGGGGGAACAAGGTGTAGCAGTCTGGAGGCCAAAGGACCAAAAACGGTGGGGAACCAAAATGTCTGGATTTATATAAGGAAAAGCCT